GAGAGCAGTTAGAGTCCGTTCTGGTCTGCATATTAATTACGTTCACGGTGCCGCACAAAAGCAGAGCAATGAAAGGGGGAGCCAGTCTTGGCCCGGCCGAAAGCGAACAAGACAATAGGAATTTTAATCAAGGATCAGCGTGCTCGAATTTATTTAAAGGTGGGCCAGCATAGCATCGCCACCCACCACAGATATCCCTCCCTTCCTGGCCCCTCCCCAGAGCATTGGTTGGTAATCTGGTCAGCGTCTTTCAGGCATGTCGGGAATGCCTTTCTCTCGCCCCCTCCTCGCTCGCCAACTGCTGGCCAATTGTGTGTGGAGCGGACAAGTAAGGGCTAATTAAGAGCGGCATGACAAGGCAGAGAATGGATTTCATTCAGGCAGTCTTATGCGGTCTCTGGATTTGTTGTTTGTTGTTTCTGCCACGCAATAGTAACAGGGAATGCTAGATAACCACGATCTTCGGACTATGACCACCATTGGACCGGAGCATGGTAAGTTGTTTCCGTAGTGTAGCGGTTATCACGTGTGCTTCACACGCACAAGGTCCCCGGTTCGAACCCGGGCGGGAACAAAGTCGATTTATTTTTTTATTTTATGAAAAAAATTAATTCTATTTCTAGGATTTTTTTCATTGGCTGAGCAATACTTGCAGACGATTAATTTATGCATTGTAAAAGTACATATGGTATATACAAGGAACACGTCTTTTTTTTAAATAAATTATGCATACAGAGATATGTATTTAGATTACATATATTTTCAGAAAATAATTTCTAAAACATTAAATAATTGTCTTAAATTACGAAATTTATGTTATATGCTCTGAAACGTTTTTTTTTTTTTTTTTTTTTTAATTTTTAAAAAGTTTTGTTCGTTTGGATTTAGAATGCAAACGCAACAATAATGTGAAATAAGGAGTACCATTTCCCAAAGAGTAATTGTAAAAAACAAGGAAAGTATTATGTTTAATAATATTTTTTATACTTGAGCTAGGTTTTTAAATTATTATTTAATTAATTATTATTAATGTATTTGAAAGAGAATTATCCTTATTACCCTATGTAAACTTAGTTTGTATAGGGTTTATTGCATTTTTATCTTATTTACACTAACGATAACTATGATTTAACAGTGTGCATTGTCCGCATTTAACTATAATTTCCCTTTCAAGTTCATAAACAAACCAGGCAGCAGTATTTAAGCGCAAATGTTTTTCCTAACCATTACTACTTCAATACAAGTTTTTCTGCGCTATTAAATTATAATTACGGTCTATAAATAGAAACGGTGTTTGGAATAGCAGCTCGTTAGCTTTTCATGAGCTCTTAAGCACCCGATCTCCAAGCGTTTCCGTAGTGTAGCGGTTATCACGTGTGCTTCACACGCACAAGGTCCCCGGTTCGAACCCGGGCGGGAACAAGATGGACTTTTTTGTTTATTTTTATTTCATTTTATAAAGTTAACTTGAAATCGAATACATTTTCATCAAATTATGTAAAGAATCGGTTATGCTTTAAGTTATCAGATTACGAAAAAATTATGAAATATTTAACAAAAAAAAATTTTTTTTTAAGAAATTATATCGGAAATTATACAACTGCCCCACTATAATTATTTTAATGATTTTCCGTTTAAATGACGAATTATCTGCAAAGCGCTGAGTAATTGTAAGTATGAGAAAACCGTAAGCCACAAGCTTATCGTGTAGCACTTAAAATACAAATGCGTATATTTTAATTTTTTTAATAAAACCGACTGAAAATCGCCGGAAAAACTCCAATAATTGCTAACATAGTTTAAATAACAGAAGCATAAAGCTTTTACTTCGTATTATAACATAACCATGTATGCTGTAGCTTAAAGCTCGTGCATTTACACTGAACAGCACAAGTGAGGAAAAATATTTTATGTAAAATAAGCTATGCTCCCCTTCCATTTCGCAGTGACTCAGCTTTTTCAGAGCCAACTTAAAACCAGAATGACCTTTTTGACTCCTCTCCCCCAATATCCATAACAGCCCTCCCTTATAAGTGAGCTTTTTCTCTTACTTTTCCGATACTCAGGTACTTACCACGCGTTTAGCCAAAAAAGCTATGCATAAACAAAACACACGAAGCTTTCTAGTCTCACGCACAGCAGCAGCAACAATGTGAAATTGCCGATTATCAGCGCACTAATAATACAATATTATGATTTATAAATGTAGTAAATCATCACAGTAAGTAGAGATTGTAATTTAAGTACTTGTAGGAACACCTTGAACTGCCGAATTGATGAATTATCGCAAGAGCTGGCAATAGACGCACTTTGCCGGTTGGAGGGAAACCTATCGCGTCCGTCAGCTATGAAAGCTTAATGCCAAATGAGCGCTTATTTGAACAATGTAGTTTTTTTAAAGAGCAAGTCATGGGAAAGAGAGAACCGGCGAAAAAAAACTTAATGCATTGCTCACGTTTGTTTACGGCGTTCAATTTCGTTCTAGTCGTTGATCGCTATTGTAAATCACCAATCAATTAGTTTCGTTTCATTGACTTCCGTTACATCACTGGTCATGTAACTAGCTAAAAAAAAAAACAAATTACAATAAACAAAACACGACCGTTTATTGTTATATAAAATGATACAAACAGAAAATATTTGTCAGAGACTGAGAAGGTTTACCAACCCTTCGATATATTTATACCCTTGCAGGGTATTATAATTTCAGTCAGAAGTTTGCAACGCAGTGAAGGAGACGTTTCCGACCCTATAAAGTATATATATTCTTGATCAGCATCAACAGCCGAGTCGATCTAGCCATGTCCGTCTGTCCGTCTGTCCGTCTGTCCGTCTGTCTGTCTGTCTGTCTGTCTGTCTGTCCGTCTGTCTGTTTCTACGCAAACTAGTCCCTCAGTTTTAAAGCTATCTGAATGAAACTTTGCATATAGTCTTCTATATGCTCTCACTGCTATATATGTCGGAACGAGCCGGATCGGACGACTATATCATATAGCTGCCATACAAATGTTCAATAAATTTTTAGAAAAAAAATTATAACTTAGCTGTTTTTCAACATATGTGCACTATTTTTTACATATGACCATTTTATATTATTTCTGAATTTTGGTAAAAATTTTATGAAAATCAGACGACTATATCATATAGCTGCCATAGGAACGATCAGGAAATTAATAGAAAAAAATTATAACTTCGTTGTTTTTCAACGTATTTTCATCTACTCTGAGATATAGTCTTATTTTATTATTTCAGAATTTTGGTACGAATTTCATAAAAATCGGACAACTATATCATATAGCTGCCATATAAACGATCGGTAGATGTAGATAAAATATAAAGCTGGGAATGCAAAACTGTAACTGTCAAACTGTAAACATAATAAGTATACGTAGGTAAAATGTAATGAAATAATATCTGCAAGGGTATAGAAACTTCGGCGTGCCGAAGTTAGCTTCCTTTCTTGTTCAGATTAATTTTCATGGAAAGCCAAAATGTAGATATACAAAATAGGAGATCTCTGTGAAAGTATTTTAAAAATATAAAATCTACCACAAACCTTCTTTAGTTTAGTGCTGTCATTAGAAACGTGTTTATATAAAAACAACTCCCAAACTGACGTTATCTTTACAGACTTCAGCAAAGCCTTTGATTCGGTGAACTGCCTCCTGCTGTTGGAAAACTTGTACTCTTGGGATTCCCAGTTTTGTTGACTAATGCATCACACTAATGGATCGCTACTTATGAACTTATCGAACCGAACTCAAAGAGTAGCTTTCAAGGGTTTATTTTTTAACCGTGTCCACGTAACTTCGGGCGTTTTAGAAGTACCACTTCTGTTTGTCATTTTTAATAACGACTTACCGGATGTGGTTCTTCATTCTGACGTGACGATGTGTGCACTTACGAACTCAGACTCTTATATGCTTTTGAAAATTGACTTGAATAACATGCAGTTCTGATGCATTAACAATTTGCTGTTTCTCAAGAGCTCTAAATGTAAATGTCTTTCTTTCGAAAAAATTTATTCTTAGCAAAATATTCAATGGGGACGAGTGATCTTTAACGCATCCATTCTGTCAGAGTTCTGTTTACCCTCAACTTAAACTTTACCGACCATATTGATTTAATTGTCGGTAAAGCTAAAGGGGTTTTTGCCTTTGTCAAGCATTGATCTAAGGAGTTTGACGATCCTTACACCACAAAACGTCTTTATGTCTCTCTTGTTCGTCCTATTCTCGAATATTTTTCGTGTGTACTTACGGTCACCTCAATATGAATCCTTATTGAATCGGTTCAATTCCTTTTGTAATAAAACAAATAAATCAACTTTACTTGCACTTGTACATGCTGCACCCAGCAGAGGCGAACCAAGTGTAATTTTCTTTAACAATTAACCCTTAAGAATTGGGTAGATGGGGAAAATAGTTTCTAATATACAAAATGCACTCTTTTAAATTAACAAAGAAAGCTTTGATTGCCTGGTATGTCACAGTCGAGGAGGTCTCATCTGTAGTTTACTTACTTGGATGTCCGGATAAGGTCATATCGACGCATTTTCGCGAAAGTATCGTATGTCGAAAAATCCAATTTTACAGGAGAAGCTTTTTTGTGCTTTAATCTCTTAGGAAGCACTATAGAAAAGACAAAATTGAAACTTAATTTTTATCGGAACTATAGGGTTTTCAGTTATAATATTTCACAGGGTAGTGAGACATTAGGTGCCTAACAATTTTGCATTAAAATCTCAATTTCGAAAAAAAGCGACATACGATACTTTCGCGAAAATGCGTCGATATATAGTATGTACATACTTACATATACAATACCAAGGTTACTGACCAGTGCCTTTTCGCAAGTGGTTTTAGTTTTTGTTTAACCCACTTAACATATTTTTACAATCAAAGACATTTTCTTCACACACTTTATTTATAATCTTTAAATATTTAATAATTTAGTCAACAAATGCTACACATCGGAGCAATGGGCTGCGGTTAATAAATAAGACACTGCACATAGAACAGGTAGAGCAGGGAAGGGGCATTAAGAGTACATAGACTAGTGTTACCTAAATTTAGGCTACAGTTACGGCTAAGGTGGATCGGGTGGATCGTCTGGAAGATCAGTCCCTCGTATGATCGCGTATCCAGTCCAGATATTCGGTGACGCGCGTGTAGACACCTATAAGAAAATAATGTTATAGTAATAGCCAAGGATATCTGTATATAAGTAACTTACCTGGATAGCCAGGTTCACCGCACTTGTTGCCAAAGGAAACTACTCCCAGCTGGACCCAGTGCGAGTCATATCGCATCATTAGCGGACCGCCAGAGTCGCCCTTTTACAATTAAAAGAATATATGGAAAATAAATGTCTCCCTTAGACCAGATCAACTGCATTGACTGACCTGGCAGGCATCAACTCCGCCATCCGAATAACCTGCGCAGATAAAGTTCTCGTTGATGGGCTGGAAGTAGCTACGATCGCAGTCCTCGTTCCGCCAGATGGGCAGCTCCGCCTGCCGCTGGCTAGTGGACTCCTTGCCGCCGTAGTATGTGGTGCCCCAGCCCACGACGGTGGCCCTACGTCCTGGCAGGCGCTCCTTGGGCGGCATACGAAGGCCCTTTGGTAGGCACACGGGGATCACGTACTTGGATTTTCGTACCGGCTTGTCCAGCACCAGGATGGCAATGTCGTTATAAAAGCCAATTCGGGAGAAGCTGAAACACAAATCCATAGGATTACTCTATATTCAATGGGTTTAAGTGAAGGTAACTACCGCTCGTGGGTGCGCACTTCCTTAACGGCAAAGGTCACGGGATCAGAGGGTTCTGCGTCCGTGGAAAGATCAATGTCACCCAGCCGCACAGTGAATTGTCGCGCGGCGAACCTAAAAAAGACAGGAAGAAACCAGATGTTAATATCGATGGTAACTTCATCTAATCCTTAGCACTCACGGCTTCTGGCGAGAATCGCGGGTGCAATGCGCCGCCGTCAGGATGTACTTGGTGCCAATCAGGGAGCCGCCGCACCAGAACTCCGTTCGCTTGGGACCATGAAGGAAAATTGCCGCCATCCAAGGCCACTGTCCGTTGGGGGCCTCCACTCCACCAACGATACGACCCGTTGAGTACTCCTGCTGGCCGCACTCGTCGGGGTCTACGATGTTGTTTCCAATCTCATCCAGACCCTCGGGCTCCAGCGGCACCTCTGTCGTCGTGGTCGTCGTCGTCGTTGGTGGCTTCTTTTGGGGAATGAGCACTAGTCCCGATGTGGGTCGAGTCGTGGGTCGCAGTGTCGTTCTTTTGGTCGGCTGGGAAGCCTTTGTAGTCGTGGTAATCAGAGGTGGTCGTGTGGTCAGCTTCAGAGGCCTTTGGGTGGTCAACACGGTAGAGCTATCGGATGATGCGGCGGACGAGGACAATGGACAGCACACTCCGGGAACGAAGAGGCTTTTGAAACACAGCGACTCCCTCAAGCTGCTCAGATTCAGCAGCAAGGCCGGGCAGCTGCTCAGATCCTCACAACGTCCTGGTCTTCCACTCGGCGTCTTGCAGTAGTTCTCAACATCCTTGGCGGTTCCCGCCTCATCACTGGCCACCGCCAGCTGATCCAGGGGCCTCAGAGTGGTGGGAGATGCTGCGGTCGAAGTGCTGGTTGTTGTGCGCGGCGTTGTGGGAATCTTGATCTTCTGCTGGGACTGCTGGGCTCCCTGAACCGCTTGGTTTTGGACTGCCTCCTCATTGGGTTTCTTTACCTTCTGCTTGTTCTTATTCTTCTTCTTTTTCTTCTTTAGCTTCAGCTCCTTGTTCTCCACGAACATGGGCGAATGGTCGTCCAGCCCGACCCTTTTGGTAGCGACCTGGACAACGCTCAAGTTGGCCGGCTTGCCAGCTGGCAGTAAACTATTGGCGGATAGTGTTATTGGCAGAGTATCCAGTAGTTTCCCAGAGACTCCAGGAATGGCTTCTGATTTCCCCAGAGGTGAGGATGTTGAAGACGTTGTCACCTCAGTGGTACTACTTAAAGTAGAGCTGGCAGAGCTATCAGCTTGTTGGACCTTGTCCTCACTCTTCTCCACACCCTCCGCCTTGTTTTGATCTTGTCCGCCGCGAGTTATGTCCACCAACATGTGGCCCACATGGTTTAGTGCCCCCAGGGTCTCCGATATGCGCTTAAAGGTGGACTGGGAGAGCTGTCGTGGCAGGGACTCGTTGCTGCCCTCAGTCTGCTCCTCATCGCTGTCATAGTACTCGCTGGAGCCCTCGACGTCGTCGTCGTCGTCCTCATCATCATCGTAGGCAGAGCTGGACTGGCTGCTGGCGGAAGAGCCACTCCCCGTGCTGGCCGAGCTCTGGCTCAGGCCCAAGTCCTCACTGAGCTGGCGGCCAAGGCGCCGGTCGTGCAGGTGCGGCTGAAAAAAAGACGCTGCCTTAAGAGTTAAAGTTGTGAATGTCCGTGGCAGCGATGCGCATCCTGGTCGCACTTACCGTCGTTGGTCAGGTGAAGAGGCTGCTCCTCATCCAGGGCATCTTCGGCTTGTGCTCCAGCAGGGAGTAACGTTCCAGCGGTGAGTACTGGAAGGAGAAGGAGACTTTATTAGTTCGTAAATTATATTCGACAAATTAAACAGTAAAGTAAAAATATGAGCAACGCTTATTGCATATTTTCCATTTTAATGATGATAGGGATATTATTTGAAATATGTCGCCCCAGAAACTACAACTAATAGTTGAATATATATGCAATTATATTTTTTAAGCTGTTTGATTTTGCCTGATAACGTAAATATAGTAATAATTTTTTGCAATTACTCATACTTGAACAACAAAATCTTAATCCTATAATTAAACATTTAATTTATAATTGAACTGCCAGCTAGTGGTTAGTTATGAAACGCGCTGTCTGCTTGAAAGCAGGAAGCACTCGAGATCCGCTAGCTCCTAACTGACCTAGCTCACTTCGAATTGAACAATGGCCCTATGCAAAATCGTACGTTTGTTGAATAATGTCACAAATTGGCATTACGCATCCGCCCCCTTGTCCCTTAAATGGGAAAGTATGTCGCCGGTTATGACTCCAGTACCCTCCGTCACCCTGTTCCCCCTGTCCGCCCCACTTAACCCCTTTCTGTTGTCGTTCAACTGAAGCGCTTAATGTTTATTTAGCAGTGTGTTTACTTTGCTTGGCTGCCGTGACATAATCGGAGTCCGTTTGGCTTGGTTTGCTTTGTATTTTTTTTTCGTTCGCCTCCTCGCGGTTGGCTTAATGACTTGACATTTTTCCACTGGAAAGATCTCTCCGAAGAGGAACTTCCTCGCGGGCTATTCTTTATGTAAGTGGACGATGCAGCGCCCCTCAAGGTCGGGATAAACATAAAGATTTCACCTCACAGCTCGGAAGGAAAACAATATTGATTATCTGCAGTGATTTGGGTTAAGCTGCTACCGTTACGGTTTAATATCGCCTCTTTCTGCTTTTATTTTGATGTTTTCTTGTTTTGCTTTTATGCCAGATCCCCGAGCGCGGCTGCTCATTAACATTTTTCGAGGTGTGCACTGCAACTTTGCCACTTTCACTTGGAATAAAATTGCCCATACCAAATGGCAATGCTTTATTTTGTGTTTCAGCTGCCGGCATGGTTGTGCGCGCCCCAACACAATGAAGTGCTGGCCAATTATAGGGCTTATATAGAAATGATTTCTTGGGAAAAAGTGAATGCCCCGAGGGCCCTAGACAGTGTAAGCACATTCGCCACATTTAAGCGTGCTCTCCTTTCGGTTCATTGTTCATTATTCGGATTTTTTTTGCATTTTGACCCAAAAAAGTGTCACAAAGTGCGGCGAAAGAAAATGAAAAGAAAAATTACATTGAATTCGATTTAGCATCCAATATTTTAAAAATACCTTATCTTTTATTGGATGTCTTGGAAAACTGATTTTTGAGAATGAAAGTTGGGAAATAAATCGTTTTCGTTCTAGTTTTAAGTAATGCTCGTTATAAAATTTAGTACCGTTAGGCCGCACATTAAGGTGCGCCCATAAATGTTGGCTTACGGCTATAAACAATTTAAATAGTCGCTAACTTCTAGTCGAAATAAACAGTTTTAAGTCAAAACCAGATACTAAATGCCTGCTTTTATCTAACCCTCATGTTATAATGTTGTTTTTTAACATTCCTAAACAAAAGAGACTTTTTTAATAGTATACAAACTATTTAAAACTTAAAAGCAATGTTATAGAAATCGTAATGACAATTAAATAAAGAATTACTTTGGGAAAGTTTACTAGTTTAGTCTTGGAAATGGAATCATCTCAAATTAAACACAGTTTTGGCAACCCCTAGAGTAACAGCAAGCCTGAGTGTTAACTCCAGCCGTAATCCAATTAAGAGCCAGCCGGCAGTTTCGTAAGCTCCTGCCAAGAGATTTTCCAGTAATTGCTTGGCCAACGAAAGTGAAAATAATCCAAGAAAGGCATTGGCAGCAACGCTGGAAAAGTACCAACTAATCCGCAGAGGGGCGCAGTGGACGGGAAGAGAAACTGGCGGCCGTTTGGTCGCACTAACTTCCGAATCCGCGGGGATAACATTAAATTGAACACTTCATGGTCAGGCGGCATCTAAAACCCGCCGGGACTGGAGTTTTTGGCACCAGCAAACCCACCAACAGACGGCGGCGGTGACAAGTTTTTCTTAGCTCTTTTTTAGTGTTTAAAGTTGCATAATAGATGATCGGGCCTGGCTCTGCTATAATACCGAGAAACACGTACGAAGGTGTACTTGGGACGCGGGGAGATCCACGATTGGCCTTGGTGTCGCCGCATCTATGTGTATGTGTGGTGTGTGTGATTTGCATGCCAGCTGGTTTCTTTCGGCTCTGACGTCACCGAGCGGAAGCTTTATTGGCACCACCGAGTGGTGGGCAAAGGAAAGTTGCAAGCAGGCCCGCGCGTTGCACGAATAGTGATCGAAGAAGCCCTCGCATCATCGGCTGCATTCGAGTTCGTTGCCTAAGTCTTTTGTTTTCCCTCGCCCATTTATTTATTTATTTTTTGCGCAGCACATTAGCACAAATCAACCATAAGCCGCACATAAATGGTTACAACACCTTTTAAACCGATTTTGAGATGCCCGAAACTAGGTTAATTATGCGTTAATTTTGGGCCCCAGTTCCCGTGGTTTTATCTATTGTTTTTATTGTAAATACCAACCCAGGCAGAGCAGAAATGGCGTCGTCTGCATCTTGCCGAACTCCGAATGCTTAAAATGCAGTTTCCGTTTTCAGTTTACAAAAGCCGTTTAACATTTGCCGACAATTTTAGGTAGTCTCGTTCACTTTTTGTTTACTATTATTTAACACACTCGACGAACGGCGACGCGATGACGAACGAACCCAACGAAAACGACTCTGAACGAAAATGAAAGTGTTAAAAAGTGTTAAGCAGCGGCGACGTTTTTTTTATTTTTTCGGTTTCAATATCTTGGCCTGACTTGGGCCACAATTTAGCCTTGGCGTTAACTTTTTACGAACTGGCAATTGCTTTAATTGAATTTTGTAATATTTATTTTTATTTCCCGCCGCTCCGATTGCGAAACGGTTTCGGTGAAAAATGCAAAAATTTCACTTTTACGCCTTTTGCTCGAATTAAATCACCAACGAGTGTTATTGACTGTAGTCCAATTGCAGTTTATTTTACGATTTCGGACCTCTAGAGGGCTTATTTTTGGGGTTTCGAGCGGAGTGGAGCGGCCTGCTTCCGTGTGCCGTTGCTGCCCGAGTTCGACTGAAATTGAAACTGAAAATGCAGAAGACAAAACGCGACGCGGGCCCAGAGCCGAAGACACACGGCCAGCAACAACATAACATTTTGTGGCGTCGTTTTCAGGCAGCTTTTGGCCTTAACTCCACTGTGGGTATTGTCGCTGGAGCATTTCGTTTCGTTTTCGTTTCGGCTTTTGTTGTGGAAGATCGGCAGCGATGCAGGCCGACGGTTGCGGGGGAGCTTAAGAGGCGCGACGGTAGCCGCGAGGTTGTCAGCTGGATTTTTACTTTCTTCAGACTTGAGGAGCTTGGGCTGGAGCCTCAGCGCTCTCTCTCAGTCACACTATCGCTCTCTCTTACAATTCTAATCTATATAGTTTTATAAATTAATATGTTAGCCATATAGAGAGTTCCCTTGAACTGCAAACTCAATGAACCCAAGAGCCAATTTGCATTGAGCACTCGCCCACATATGTAGATAGTGCTCAACCTCAGGTATTCCCGCAGTCCGAAAAATATATATTTAATATTTGCGCAACCTTAGCTTGTTTTCCCGCCTCGCGAAGCCTCCACCATGCAATCGATCGAGTACTGTGTGGCTTTTTGGATGAATCATGCTGTGGTTTCCCCAAAACGAACCGAACTCTTTGGCCTGGCCTACTTCAAATGCAAATGGTTTAACCGAAAAAACCTATACACTCATGATTGATGGTAGTCGTACGATGCAGAGGAGAAACCCGACAGAAATTAAACAAAATTTAAGTGGAAATAAGATGGTGGTAAATAATTACAAGGCCTTAATGAAAATACAACAAACTATCTATCTTCTGCCTTTGATCTGGCAGATCTTGTGTATCTCCCCTCCATAATGTCATCTTATCTCCGGCTCAATTGGTACATTTTGTCTGCGTTTTTTAACCTTTTTGCTTTATTGCTCCGGCGTCACTAACGACCGTGAAAAGGAAAAAGTGTAGAAGAGCGTGTGACCAACATAATTAATTGGGTATTCATAAGTCTGTGCCTCCGTAGAAATCCGAGCAGGCCCATTGTTCGGCCCAATGTTGACACCTTTAAAAGAAAAAGCAGCGCGAAATAAACTTATAACTACCGAGGAATAAAAAATCAAAAAGAAAAAGGTGTTAAAAAATGAATTGCCTGTCAAAGCGGCTGAGAAACTATTATGCGAAAATACAGGCCAACCGGGGAACCGTTGACAGAATTCGCGCTTTGTCCCTTGGTGGAACTTAAAAGCTATTCCTAAGCTTCGAGCTTTAGTCTTCGGTGGATTTAGTACATCTTTACAACCAGAAAAGCTCGAGTCCTTAAGACCTTATTGTTTAATGATTTCTCTATTTATTTACAATTAAAAGCATTTGTTGGAGACATTAAATTACAATTCACTTAATCTACAGCAGCTACAGCGACGTCGCGTGATTAACGTTAAGCATCTTAGGAATTGAATTGATAATTTGTAATGCATCTTGTGTTTTTCTCGTTTTCTTTCTTGCTATTTTTTTTTTTTTTTTTTGTTCAACAATCGACTAAGTTTAAAATTCATTGACTTAAAGCTTGTGCGTGAAAGCTTAAAAGTAAATTTGCGGTATACGCTTCGATATATGCGAACAATCAACGTTTAACACTCGGATGGAGCGACACAGAGAGAGAGAGAGCCGGCGAAAGCATAGTATGTACAGGTCAGAGGTCAGGGATCTGCATGCCGATCTTACAGATATTCGTAGAACACACACCAATAGATGCCATTAAGGCTGGCGAAGAGGGCGGGGAACAGGACCCGCGAGGAGCGATCGATGTAGATGGCCCGCTTAAGCCGCTCCTGGGCGGGGGTCAGCTTGGGCTTGGGCAACTCCGGATCGGGCACCGACGGCGGCGGAGGCGGTGGCGGAGGCGCAATGGTCGGGGTCAGAATGATGCGTGACTCCTGACGTGGAATCCAGGGACCATCAGCGTCCAGTGGGGGACGAACCACACGACGAGTGGTGGTCACAATCTAGGGAAATTATTTATTATAAATTTTTCGGTAGTTAATGCTAGCTGGTAGGCTGTACTGTACCCTCTTATTCTTGGTCATTTCATCGAAGATTTTCTCGATCTTTTCAATTTTCTCATCGGCCAGGGGCAGCATGGTGGCCTGCTTGCTGCCCGCCGAGTTGCTTCCTCCCGGCGGAGCCCCAGCCTCTCCCTCCTTTTTGGTTGCATCTCCGGGTACCGGCTTGGGTGGATAGGCCATCGGCTTGGGTATGGGCGTGTCACTCAGGACGATGTTGATCAAACAGTACTCCATGAGGGCCATGAACACGAACACCGTGCAGACGGACATGAAGGCGTCCACGGCCTTGAGATAGGACACTGGCGGCAGCGACGACTGTGACTTGGCGTGCTGCGTGGATAGGGTGAGCAGCGAGGTGACCCCGAGGGTAACGCGGGCAGGAGCCGCTTCCGGCTTGATCCAAAAGGAGACCCACGACATGATCACGATCATGCAAGTGGGTATGTACGTGTTGAAGACGTAGTACACCAGGCGCCGCTTGAGAGTAAAGACTACCTCTAGACAGGTAAAGTTGCCAGTGGAGTAGACTTGGGTACAGTCCGCCGTCTCGTTACGTATGAGCGCCACCTGCGGCAGCTCGATGTTCTCGTCCACCACGAGTGGTGTGGTGGGGTCCCACTGGAAGATCAGGTCGTCCGTGGTGTGAGACACTAAAGATATTTTTGTAAACATAGTATTTTTTTACCGACAAGTTGAAAAACTCTTACGGCTCTCCATCTGCAGCTTGCACTCCTGGGTGTCGTGCGGATAGATGGCAAAGTTCATGATGCAGGACAGCTTGAGCGTCAGCTTGACCATGTACAGAATCGTCTTGTCCTTGTACAGCCACATATAATGGTTGGGTATGGTCATCGTCTGGAAAGTGACCGATTTGGCGTTTTTGAAGAAGGAGTCTGGTCGCCACATGTTCTTCAGCCAGTCCACTTCCAGCAACCGATACTCCTGGGTCATGTTCTCCGGCAGTCGTAGGCGGTGGTCCTTCCAGGTTTGGGCAAAGAACACATCTGCCACGTACGTCATCGAGTTCTCATCAATGGAGTCCAGGCCCATCACCGTCACATGGAAGTAGACTATCGTAGGCTGGCCCTCTTTCTTGGGCGGTCGCATCTTATCGTATCGCTTGATGTCCTCGGGCAGGATGTCGGTGATGGCCAGACTTTGCCTGTTTTTAAGGAAATGCTAAGTTGTTATATGAAATAGATTTGCGTACGTTGATTCCACTCACTGAAACTCCCCTTTAGCGTAATGCTTCAGGCAGATGGTGCAGATCACCAGGAGAATTATTTGAAACACCATTTCTAAGCTTCACTTGAATGAAGAAGGAAGAAATTGGAAAAAGGTTGTATTTAATGTTAGCATTTCTTTTTGTAAATATATTCCTAGCAACTAGTAGGGTATAAAATGTAATATATTATTGATTAAAATAATTTAAAAATTGAGCCTTAATCAATCCTGTCTGTCGTTATAAGGCCCTAGGACTCCGAAAACATATAAGCTAGGGCTAACAAAGCAATAATACTATTATGGCCTTTATCTATATATATAAAAATCAATTGCTGTTCATTAGTCTCGCTAAAACTCGAGAATGGCTGAACGGATTTATCTTATCTTGGTCTTGAATTATTCGTGGAGGTCTAGGGAAGGTTTAAAAGGTGAGAAAAATTCGAATAATTGCCGGGAAAATCCTCAAAACAGTATTTTTCTATTTCCCATACAAACGTTTTCTAAATAAAATGGAGAGTCAATTTGTAATTTATTACCGCTGTATAAAGTTCAAATTCGCATGCGCGTTGGAGGATCTAATATCGCGTTCCGAAACTCAACAAAAGTGAAAGTGAATCGCGAACGCGACAAAATTGCATAGTCTCACAGCTTCATATAGCTTCGAGAAAATTAATTTTAGCTAACTTCAGTTGTTAATCTGTCTTTTGTTTTTAATAAGACTATATAGAAATCGAAAGATAAATCTTAAGTTTTGTCACAAACGTTAAATTATAAATCTTAAGTTAAATTTCTGAACGCAATCATAATATTTGACATTAGATTTAACAACCAACTAATATGTCAATCCATCCTGTCTGTCGCTTTTCAGTCAGAATGGCAGTTTCGGCAGGACAAGGAGGAATCTTCTTTTTTATGCACTCCTCCGAAACGGCTTTACCGATTCTCATGAAATTTAGTGTGCTTATGCAGTTTGGTTCAACTTGAGAGATAGGATAGCTAAGATCTTTAACATCATGGCAGTTTCGGCAGGACAAGGAGGAATCTTATTTTTTTTATGCACTCCTCCGAAACGGCTTTACCAATTCTCATGAAATTTAGTGCGCTTATGCAGTTTGGTTCAACTTGAGAGTTAGGATAGCTAATCATGGCAGTTTCGGCAGGACAAGGAGGAATCTTCTTTTTTATGCACTCCTTCGAAACGGCTTTACCGATTCTCATGAAATTTAGTGTGCTTATGCAGTTTGGTTCAACTTGATAGATAGGATAGCTAAGATTTTTTACATCATGGCAGTTTCGGCAGGACAAGGAGGAATCTTATTTTTTTATGCACTCCTCCGAAACGGCTTTACCAATTCTCATGAAATTTAGTGCGCTTATGCAGTTTGGTTCAACTTGAGAGTTAGGATAGCTAATCATGGCAGTTTCGGCAGGACAAGGAGGAATCTTCTTTTTTATGCACTCCTTCGAAACGGCTTTACCGATTCTTATGGAATTTAGTGTGCTTATGCAGTTTGGTTCAACTTGAGAGATAGGATAGCTAAGATCTTTTACATCATGGCAGTTTCGGCAGAACAAGGAGGAATCTTCTTTTTTTATGCACTCCTCCGAAACGGCTTTACCGATTCTTATGGAATTTAGTGTGCTTATGCAGTTTGGTTCAACTTGAGAGATAGGATAGCTAAGATGTTTTACATCATGGCAGTTTCGGCAGGGCAAGGAGGAATCTTATTTTTTTATGCACTCCTCCGAAACGTTTTTACCGATTCTCATGAAATTTAGTGTGCTTATGCAGTTTGGTTCAACTTGAGAGATAGGATAGCTAAGATCTTTTACATCATGGCAGTTTCGGCAGAACAAGGAGGAATCTTCTTTTTTTATGCACTCCTCCGAAACGGCTTTACCGATTCTTATGGAATTTAGTGTGCTTATTTAACCAAATCTTTATGCTTTGCTCGGGCTATTTTGTTGATGAGTTTGCACCAAATTGGTTGAGCGGTTCTTCACGTATTACATATTTTGTAATATATTATTTCAATAAATCGCATTTCGTCAGAATGTCTTTTCTTTTATTGTCATTTGTCATTCATAATTATTGTTTTGTGTTTATAAGTGGTGAGTCTCTAAATTATCATTTGAAATACATTAAGAAGGTAAGATAATATTTTCAGCAAAGTGCCACCGAAAAGATCGAATCTCAACAACGTAAGCAGCAGAGTGGCAGAACAAGTCAATTCAAGAAATAGAGCTCAAAGAATTAGGACAGCAGAAGGTCGTGCACAAGAATCCCAGGAACAGCGTAGCGAACGTCTGCAGCAGAATATTACGAGAATCAGGGCGGCTCGAGATAGAAACATAGATATGTATAGTACGAGCACAAGTACGACAAAGGCAGCGGAACAGTCGCTCATTAGTTCGTACATCATTCGTTCGTCTTGCTTTTGAATATGCACCAGATATTAACTACTTTGCGCATTCAAAAATTGCTATCGGTGGAATGGACAAAGTATGTCAATATTGTCAGGCGTTTAAATTTCGGAATGAAACTGCCGGTATGTGCTGCGCAGCAGGAAAAGTCGTTTTGCAACCTCTACTTGCTCCGCCAGAACCTTTATTATCCCTTCTTGCTGGAAATTCAAATGACTCAAAATTATTTTTGCGTAAAATACGCAAATTTAATAGTGGCTTCCAAATGACGTCATTTGGGGCCACTAAAATTTGTGATCTTGCATCCGATGGACGTAATTTTGAAACTACATTCAAAATACAAGGCCAGATGTACCACAAAATTGGATTATTGATGCCTGATGATAATCCGAAATTTCTTCAAATTTATTTTATGGGCAATTGTGAAGAGCGCGTAACGACCCGATGCCAGTATCATTTTATTGAACAAGCAGAGGAAGCGGTTTAGGAGTCTATAGCGAACAAACATAGTGACAGGAGATTTTTATATATTAAGATTACTGTTGAAGGTTTAATATTTTATTTACTGACAACTCTGTAATATGCTCATTGTTTCCGTATTGTTTCCTACAAATAATATGCATGACAAAACAGTGTTTGCCGGGTCAACTATAATTAGTACGGGCCCAGCAAAGCGGGTCGGGTCTGCTAGTATAGTATAGAATTTTTCTCAATACAATCCCATTAGACCAAGGATATAGTAGTAATTTAAATAGTAATTTCCCTAGGAACTATCACTAGGTATAACATTCAATGAAATGGATTCAAGGATATCAATACAATACTTACACTAACAACAATCGGTTAATATAAATCCTTCCTGAACACTTGTTTTCGATAAGTATTATTCATAATATCATTCACCGTTTCAGGGCTCTTCCTGTACAATGGAGGTGACACCGACTAGCAAACAAATTGAAGCGATTCCCAGGTCTCTGCCTTGACCTTGCCATCAGGTGGGCAGGATCAAAGGCGAGAGCAGGCACTCGAAGAGTCCCCCTGGCATTGGCAGTGCATCGAGAGCGATTGGCACGAAAATAGCAACAATTATGCCGCTTAACAAAGTAAATAAAATGGGGGGAGAATCGGACCGAGACAAAGGGACAGTTGCCCTCGACAATAGATAGCCTCGGCATTGACTGATGTCGCAGCCCACCGGGGTTTGGCAACCCTGGCAGCGGTACCTGTCGCCGTCCCAGTCGCTCGCTGCACAATACCGTCTTAATTCACAATTAAAGCCACTCGAGGGGCGGTTAGGAGATGGGAGGTGGCTGGAGGCTGGAGAGCCGTGCCTTAAGTGGCCCATGCGCCTTTCTATGCGCTCGCAGGATGCCTATGCCTGCCACGCCCCTCGCCCCCACTCACATGGCGAACGTGAAGAAGAAAGCGGGCAATGAAAGAATCCTGCCAATGCTGCAGAGCCCCCATTAGACAAGGACAATTGCCGCGGTACTTGGCGAGGCAGAAGTCTGTAGTTCCCCTTCTGGTTGGGAAATTGGGCCAACTTAAAGAATCAATATATTTAAATTTTGAATAATTTTAGTTAGGTTTTTTAGGAACCTGATAAATAATATGTTAACTAATTGAAATCAACATAAAATCGACTAAGGCTATCAAACGTTAAGGATATCCGATGAATTTCAGATCACTTGTCAGCAGGGCACGTAATCATTATAAGTGAAAAAATAAAAATCAACGATTAATGATTATCTATTGATTTTAATATATTTCGCTTGCCATTAACAATTATAATTTTATATTTACTTCATCGCTCAAAGAATAATAATTATTATTTTGAGCGAAAAAATTTCGAAGAAACCTCGCAGAAAGAAGTTATTACACATTGAGCGAAATTCTGAGCGAAAAAATATCGCTCAAAAAATGATCATTATTTTTTGATCGAACTTTTTTCGCTCAAAATAATAATTATTATTCTTTGAGCGAGTAAATAAAACTCAAAAATTAATAATTAAAATTGGTTTATTATATAAAAAATTTAGATTTCATCAATCATTGGTTATCTCGAAAGAGCATCCAAATTGTAGCCGATTGGTATAATTCGTTTCTTTGTGCGACTTTTCCAAGTGTATGATTTTTTTGTTTAAAGAAAACATTGATAATCATTATTTACGGTCCCTGCTTGTTAGTAAATACAGATTTTTTTGTGATTTGTACCTAAGTTTGCACATTTTTATACCCTTGCAGGGTATTATAATTTCAGTCAGAAGTTTGCAACGCAGTGAAGGAGACGTTTCCGACCCTATAAAGTATATATATTCTTGATCAGCATCAACAGCCGAGTCGATCTAGCCATGTCCGTCTGTCCGTCTGTCCGTCTGTCCGTCTGTCCGTCTGTCCGTCTGTCTGTCTGTCTGTTTCTACGCAAACTAGTCCCTCAGTTTTAAAGCTATCTGAATGAAACTTTGCATATAGTCTTCTATATACTCTCACTGCTATATATGTCGGAACGGGCCGGATCGGACGACTATATCATATAGCTGCCATACAAATGTACGATACATTTCTAGAAAAAAATTTATAACTTTGCTGTTTTTCAAAAATTTTGCTCCATTTTTTAGATATGGCCATTTTATATTATTTCTGAATTTTGGTAAAAAATTTATGCAAATCGGCCGACTACATCATATAGCTGCCATAGGAACGATCGAGAAATAAATAGGAAAAAAATTATAGCTTCGTTGTTTTTCATCGTATGTTTATCTACTCTGAGATATAAGCTTTTTTTTATTATTCTAGAATTTTGGTATAAATTTCATAAAAATCCGACAACTATATCATACAGCTGCCATATAAACGATCTGTAAATGTAGAGAAAATGTAAAGCTGGGAATGTAAAACTGTAACTGTCAAACTGTAAACATAATAAGTATAGGTAAAATGTAATGAAACTCTGTTTTTGTAAGTGTTTTCAGCATTTAAATCTATAATATAAACATAAAAACCAATCTGCAAGGGTATACAAACTTCGGCGTGCCGAAGTTAGCTTCCTTTCTTGTTTTTTAAGATTTTTAAAATTTATTATATAAGCTTAAAATTTGTTGTAGAGTCCAAAAATAGTTATCTTTCTCATAATTATTATACATAATAAATATCTATATATATTTTTAATAGCAACCCGTAAGCTGCTAAGACAGCTCTGATTTCAATAATAATAGCTTAAGTTACATGCGTTTCTAGTTAAAAAGAAACAAAGTAATGTTGATTCGATTTTCAGATTATTTTTATTTATTCTTAGTTCCGTCTTCTACTCTTATTCTAACGAAAAAACACTTTTTTAAATAGGTACAAATTGCTTTCTCCTTAGAATAAGAGTCATATTAATACATATCTCTACAAATTAGGGGCTTACTTTACTAAACATAGGGTACATCCGTTTTATTGTAAATGATTTTGTTCTTCAATATAAAATTATATCATTTGTAATTCAAAAAGATTCTTTGATTCGTAATAAAAAAAATTAAAAATATGAATGTCTATAACTTTGCGATTAAACATGGTCTACAATTTATATTTTTTTTTTTTATACAATTATTTATTTAAGTCACGTTTTAACCTGTCACTAAATCATGTTCCAGTTCTTATGAATGTTGTGTATAAAAAGTCAATGTTAGCTATAAACCATTTAAAAGAAATACAGAATATAAACATCTTACACAATTTGCTGATCAGTTCAGAATTCTCTTCACAGTTGGAAAATGACTTTTCTTTTTGTTTCCGATATTACTGCACTAGTTTCTGATGGTTTTCTGGAATCTTCACCGAGATTACATAACCATCAGCTCGACGCACTTGATGGCATTTTTGAAAATACAACTCTTTAAGAACTCGGCGTTTTTTTAAATACTCGGAAAATTCAGTTATGTGTGGAAAAGTATACCAGGCTTGGATAAGTATTTTTTCAAAATTCTCATTTAATAGCTGACTGAAATTTTTCGCAAGATTTCTTTCCGTTTTGAACGTCTTGGCCGTTCGAACTTTCGCTGACAACTGACAGTTGGAGGCGAACAGATTTGAATTTAAAACGTTGCCAGGCACGAAGCGAAAGTTCACCAACGAAGGATGCAGGATGCTTGACGCGATGCATGTATGGGAGGACGAGTTCCTTTCCGAGCGATGGTTGGAGAACCAAAAGTGAAAGCCACCAGAATCGCAGACTTTAATGTGGCGGGAACAAGGAACTATCGGCTGCGAATGTTTGTGCATATCCTATATATAGGACAGGCAAATATCCTCTCCCCCGCCGACCAGGGCTGCAGCGCCGTGAGCCGCCTGTGTGTTTGTCTTGCCCGAGTCACTTAACATAATTTCTTCGAGTGCTTTGGCATTGCCTCCTTTTGCCACATAATCTGCTCGGCTCTGTCGTCATCGACATTGTTGTCATATCTGCCCGGATGTGGGGTGCAGGACCTTCAATTCTCATCAGGGCAAGATGAGAGACATATGTCTATCGATTCCACGGAAATTTTTTTAAATCAATGGGGGGAATTCCTCTCTCCTGACTGCCCAAATTTACGAATTTTATTTTTGCTGCATTGTTCACACTTGGACTTGGACTTGGATTTCCCTTAGTTTTGAGCACTTTTCAATCAATTTGCTCGTTAGCCGTCCTTCCCTAACAAGCTGTCCGCAAGTTGGCAAGTGCCAATGCCCAGAAGTGGCATTTGTCGCATCCAAAGTTGGGGCCAGTGGCGTCCGGACATGGACGCAACTCCGGCTAATGAATGCAGCGCCACGTTAATCCCATAATCCCCAGCTGAAGTCGCTCGGAGTGCACAAATAGAAGTACAAATACAAAATAAATGCCAGTGGAAAATTTAACGGAAAATCAAGTTAAATGAGATGACAAAAGCGCTTGAGATAAGTGGGAGCCAGGATAAAAAGAACAACAGCTTGGATGTTAAATAATTTCGTTTATTACCGAAATTATTATATAATAACATGAGATAATTATTAAATATTTTATTTTAGCATATTATTTAAATAATACATATTTATTTAGAAAATTACAAATTAGTCAATGGGACTTATATTTAATCGCATGAAATATATTTATAAAATATCATTATTACTTATTTATTAGAAAGCTAAAATCATATTTAAGAGTCATAGACACAGCTTATGGATTGGGGGAAAATGTGGAAAATCTTTAAACTATTTAGATTGCAATATAGCTTAAATATAAGGGAAAAGGAAATGTTTTGGGATTCATTGATTATTTCACATAATCTCTACTAAAGGTAAAAATCCATACCTTCAGCATGAATAAATATTTGTTATAATTTAATTTAATTAAATTATTATAATATTAGAAATTAACCTTTGCATTTTAAAATCCTTATTTAAAATGTGAAAAACATTTACATATACATATATTCTCTGAAATCAAGAGAACATTATTAAGACACTCTTTTATTGTTTGCAAACTCTTAAATATAGTAACAAAATAAGAATGAATAAATACAAAAAAGAATTATTAAAATATTCTAAACTCCTTGGACGTGGCGTTAACCGGTTACATAGGTCAAATTTAACTTAATACAGAAAAAAATATTTATATATATATATATTTTCTTTTTGCAATGTACAAATTATTTCTAAATTGTGCTGTTTCTGTCAAATCCCTCTAAACCTCTAAAATCAACAGTTAGAAATTAGGAAACTTGCCGCCTCTCTCGAATTCCTGGTGACCTTCAGGCACCGTCTCATATGTGTACATGCGAGGTGACTACTCTATTCTACTGGAACCCCTTCCAAGCAGACCTGCAACCCTACAAGCACTACTACTCAACGCCTTGCCGCAACACTCTCGACAGGATTCAACACATCCTTTCTGGCCTCCGAGCCACCGAGAAGAAGAAGACGACTCGTCGTTATTAAATTATCTCTGATGCGATAATAGCACACTTAAGTTGCCACCAACCTCTCGCCCTCTTCGCTATTGATGGGGCAGCAGCTATAAAAAGCCGCTGATTTTTCTATAGTTTATTCGAATGCAGTCGAGCTTGGACCTGTGCTCTGAGTGCTCCTGCCCCGCCCTGCGCCCTGTGCCTCCCGCCACCCGCTCCTCCTTAAGTGGTGCTCTTAAGTTTCTGCTGAGGGCAGCAGCAGCATGGGGGGGCGGTGGCTAAAGCAAATTCGCAAAAGGTTTTTGCCGCACTTGCGGTTTGAATACTTTTTGGGTGGGAATACGAACGAACAGGGCAGCTTTTTAGCTTGTGTTTGGCTTTTGACAAGCGTGCGCTACGTCATAGAAAATTATGTGAAATACATTTGAGTGAAAAAAAGAGATACAGAATCCGAAACTATATACTTTACTGGATGCAAGGAAATAAATAAAGCAGCTACAAGGTCACCGACTATATTTAGTCCACGGATTTGGTTTCTTCGAAATATTAAGCACTGATCATTGGATATGAATGTCAGTTTCGTAATAAGAAACAAGGGGTTGGACTCGGACGATGCTTTTATTGTTTTCATAGAGGTAATGTCACAGAAATTAAATAGCATTTTAGTTAGTTTTCTGTTTTAATATTTCCATATTAAGTTTATAAGTAGTTGTTGAAAAGAACGGCCAAGTAGGAATTTCGAGGCACGCTGACATAAATAAACAAATTAGTACTGTTGGGTCCCCTTCCTCAGCGAACAATAGTTACATTTTAATAAATAGAAAACTCTGGCATACTTTTTTTTAACACATAATCATTAGCAAGAACATTTTCAAAAATGCAACATACTGGAATATAGAAATAAAATCCATAATACTTGCAATACCCAATCAAAAATAACAACAACAACAGCCTTAATCGAACGCTGAAATATCTGGCCGTCACATCTTTTCCATATCACTTCCTGTCGCTGAAAGGCAGACAAAATCTCATTAAATATTAATCGCTAACTTTAGCGAGCGGGCAAAACCACACAGAAGATGTGACCCACATTCGCAGCATGCGGAAGTTCGGTGAATGAAACCCCCTATGTCCCCCCACATGCCACATCCCACATGGCAAGTCCCAACTCCACAGCCCCGCCTACTCCATTCATAAAATTCTCAAAGCGAGGACATTGAACCGCTAAGGGGAAGCTAATCGGGGAAGTTGCTCCAGGGTGGAGCTGGGTGGCATTGGGTGTGACAAGGGAAAGGCGTGGGGTGGTTCCGTCCAGCAACAGATGCCTCGGAGAGACAGTTCCAGCCACAGGGTGGGAAAGAGAGCCAGAGAGTCAGAGGGTGGGCTGCTGGTGGCTTGGCTGCCCAGGTGGGACGCCACATTGTTGACAAACAAACCTGTAGCCGCTGGCCAACACGTGGCGGTTGCCTGACTGGGTGGTGGCTCGGGTGGTGGCACCGCAATCCCTGCCAGAGCGCATGCTCAGACATCGCAAACAGCTGAGCGCGAAACCGTGACGTCGTTATTGATTTTTACACAATCGCCGGACGCGCATCGCTGCAATTGGAGTTGCAGGAAAACAGGAGTCGCAGAATGCTCTAAAGGATCTGCACCGCATCCAACGACTAGCTTAATCTGAGGCATTCCGACAGGCGCAGCTTGGTAGTGAAGCTGCAACAGCGGCATCGGGACAGAAGATGATCAAACTGCGACCATATGTGCCCTCGAAGAGGATTGCCATACGGGACTCGTCCATCGATGAGGATGCTAGCGACGATGTCGAGGACGAGGTGTTCATCAAGGATGCCAGGTCGGCCAAGGTAAGTCCTCGAGAGTTGCATAAGGAAAAGGAGAAAAAAGGGTATGGAGCATCCCTGCCAGCATCTCTTGGGAGTTATGGTGTAAATTTATAATTAAGTTAAGTGCAAAAAGTGGTGCGCCTTGCAAAAAATTAGGATATAAATACAGAATAAATATCCAATGTGCCATATGCCATGGTTTGAAGCAAAGAATGCTCTGTAAGCGGGATTTTGGGTGGAGTTTTCTAGAGAAATTGTTATTTTAGCTTTGGTGAAAGCCTCCTTAAAAATACTTATCATAAAAAAACTGCTTTTTGCACCAGATTTTCGAACTACTTTTATCTATAGGCAAAAGATAATCCCTCCCTGGGCCTAGTTCCTAACACTAAAAATGTGTTTTTAGGTTACAGATTGCGTCTTGTATCTTATAAAGTTCTTAAGTTTCTAAAATATATACCTGTAACAGAGCATTAAGTAATAATAATAAATCAATCTCATCTTCACCTTACAGCGCAGCGAAGAGCAGGGCCTAAAGCGACCCCTTATGGCCCCGCGGCGCAAGCACAGCTCTGGCGGACCCGGAAATGGATCGGGATCAGGATCGGCCCCCATAATGAAACAGCACAGGCGTCGCCGTTGCTGCCGCTGCTGTGAACCCTTCTGCTACGCCCTGGCCGCCTTGACGGTCCTCTGTGCGGTGCTCAGTCTGGCAGCCCTAATGCTGACGCTCTTCCCTCTGCCGATCCAGCGTATTCGGCACTGGTGGCGCACAGATCCCGCCCAGCTGGCGGCTATGTCCGCCAACTCGGCCCGCATCGGATACGGCAGTTCCATGGGCAGTGAGTTCGTGCCCTGCACTCAGATCAGTGTCCAGAAACGCTGGAGTCGCAGTCTGCCGCGGATGAACAGCGAAAGTCCGCTGCGAGCGGCCGATCTTAATGGCGACGGGATCAGAGATGTGGTCTTTGGCTACGGAGTGGACGACAACATCCACTACGAGGGCATCCCCTTGCCGCGCTGCAAGTCTGCCCAGCAGGGTGAGGAGGTGCCCTGCGAGGGCGGAGTGGTGGCCCTGAACGGGCGCGATGGCTCCATCTTGTGGCAGTCGTGGAGCGTGGCTAATGTCTTCTCGCTGCACTGCAGAGCGGATGTGGACGGAGACGGTGGCACCGACTGCGTGGCTGCCGGCAGACTAGGGGTAAGTTCAATCCTTCTATGGAAGTCAATCCTCCCCGGCTAATCTCCTCTCATTGCCTGACAGATGATCTATGCCATCAATGGCCGTACCGGCTCCATTATCTGGCGCTTCCACGAACTGGAGGTGGAGACCAACTCTCCGATCGTGATGGACTTGTACACCATCAACGAGCTGAGAGATCTGGACGGAGACTCGGTGCCAGAGATTATTGCTGCCCATCTGGAGGAGCGGGAAGAGTCCAAGGCGGGACACATAAAGCTCATCTCTGGCAAAACCGGAAAGGTGATCCGCAGCATACCAACGCCCTACCGCGAGGAGATGTTCGTTCCGATCCAGCTCCTCACCGAGGCGGATGGCACAGAGCTTCTGCTGATCCTCACCGGTGGCCAGAATACACCGGGCGGCATCTACTCCCTCAGACTGCACTCGCTGATGGCGCACACCAGCGAGAAGCATTTCACTCCGCTCTACCGGCAGCAGGGATCGGGTCTCATGGTGCCCGCCGTGCTCACTGATCTCAACGGCGATGGCATCTCCGACGTGGTGGTGGCGGCCTTCAACCGCAGTGTCCTCGCCTTCGACGGGGCCAACTACACGATGATGTGGAATTACACATTCCCGGCCAGCGAGTGTGTCAGCGCCATTGTGCCAGGACACTTTGACCACGACAACGTGACGGATTTCATGGTGAAGTACAACACGGGTCCGGGCTTCCCCGTATACTACTACTCACAGACCACAATCCTGGATGGACGCTCGGGACTGCCCCTGCTTAACGCCATGATGACGGATGCCGGAGGGGCCAACAGCCTCCTCGGTGGAGTCTCCATTTCTCAGAGCTTTGGCGGCGACTTCTTCCTGCACTGGCAGCTGCAGTGCCGAAATCGCCCGGATGCCCGCGATGCCTACGAATTCGTGCCGGACAGCGACATCATCCTGCAGGCCAGGGCGGATACTTGTCGCCTGCGCTACAACGAGTCCACGGTGCTGAAGCTCTACGGAATTGCCAGACACATCGAGCCCCCAGGTGCTGTACTCTTTAGCACCGATGACCTGGAGGTGCAGCTGAATCGCACACAACGACCGGCGCCAGCTGGGAAAAAGTCCCCGCTGAAGCATCCCAAGTTGCTCAAGAAGCTGCTGGCTGGCAACCGGGAGCAACTACTGCGCCAGGTGGCTGCCGGTACAGCGATGGGAAGTGTAGCCGGCATTGGCACTGGGACGGAGCAACCGCCGGGCAGACGGACGAAGGGCCACCACAGGCATAATGCATTAATGGAGCAGCAGCTGCAAGAGCTCTTGCCCCAGGGAGCGGACAACGAGCTGCCCAGCTTCGGCATGGCAGGGGGATACCCAAAAGAGGCCTACAAGGAGTTTGTAAGTAGAATCCTACCTAGTTTCCGCTTATTGGAAAACATATAACTTAGCCAATGTCCCTCCACAGAAGGATTATGACCCACTGCCGGAGAGTGCAAATCCATTGCGTGTGCAGGAGGAATACGATCTGGTGTACAACGACGATGTGCAGCCGCTGCTGGAGCAAGTGGATCGACCCATCCACCTGCGCTCCAAGTATCCCAGCTCCGGAAATCGCGATGTCCGCAGTGATGACCTTGAGGCAGGTGGCAGCACGACCGCCCCAACAGTCTCTAGCACAACAGGACTTCCCCTGATGGCTCAGTCCCCGCTTAGCCTGTGGGACCTGGAGCTGGATAACGAGGCGCGGGAGCAGGCTGCTGATAATGCTGCCGGGGACAGCCGCAAGCTGAAGCGACGTCGCCGACGGCGTGAGGAGGAGAGTGTTTCCGGCGCCACCACTGCTGCTGGGGAGGAGACTACGGGTGGCGAAGATCCTAACGGCCCAGATTGGTACTTGGCTTCCATCTCCTCTACCGGCGTGCTGCTCAAGGCGCTCGGTAACGCCAGCTCCTCGCTCGACTTTGCTTTCGTGCTCAATATCCGGGAGTCGGAGGCCTACCCGCCGCTCTTCTCGCCCCAGGATCTCAGCTGTGTGGAGGAGAAGATAAGCGCGTATAAAAGTGAGTCCATTTTTTTGAGGCTTTAAGACTGAGACCGAGTAACCTCCTTGCTTGCAGGTTACACCATCGACAACCTGCGCGTGCTGCGCAAACAGTTCCTCAAGCAGTGCCTCAGCGAGCGGCTGGTGGACGCCGAGCCGGCTCTTCCAAAGTTCGAGTCACAGCTGGTGGTGACCCGCATCGGGATCACGTGCACCTGCCGCACCCTGCGACCCGGCGAGGTCTGCTCGGAGCTGGATCCGCTAGAAGGGCAGCGCTGGAGGGAGTTCATGGGGAACACGGGACACGGCTTCTATGCCAACAACTAATCGCTAAACGCTGCCGGAGTAGGGTTTCGCAGCGGAGGACTTGGTCCTTTTGGCCACTGACGCTGGGAGCCTTCCGCGCCGGCCGCGCTTTCTCTTTCTCTCGATGTCTCTGTCAACTCAACAGTCACTATTGTAATTTATTGTCATTTGCGTGTTGTGGGGTTTCTTGTAATCGTAACAGTATTTACCTGCGTGTATTTGTGTATATTTTACGAGTTCTTTTGACAAATAAAAATAATCCTATTGAAAATCTGTGCCATTAGCCACTGAAAAGCCTTGAAGCTGTTGGAAATCGGATTCTAGTTAACTGCAGTCATAAACTTCTGAAAAAGTTCTGTAGTCATAACTAAACTCTAAAGCAAAGTAAAATAATATAATGCCTAAACCAATTTTACTTAATGAATTCGAACATCTAACCCTTTCCGATGAGACAGTTTCGGTGCAATTTTGAAGTTTGAAACGGTTATGGGGGGGGGGCCTTAAGTGCCTTTTCAAAAAAATGTTTTGGCAAAACAGCTAAAGATAGCCTAATGAATTAAATACTATATAATTACACATTATTTAAAAAAAAATATTTGTTTTTTATATAGAAAAAATTTACAAGTCTACGAGTAATAGGTAATCTCCTGAGTTCTCTATAAAAAAAAGGTGGTTTTCAGTGTACATCCTAACTGTCCAAAAAAACATCCGATATCAAAAATCTATAATGCATTAGTTAAAGGATAAGTGACCCGGGGTACTTACATACGTGAAGTTTTTATTTTAAATAATTTGTCCCGATTTTTCATCAAAATTGGAAGTCAAAACCCCGATTTTTTACTACAAAATTAATTTAATTTGTTAAATAAACAAGAAAGTATACCCTTGCAAATTGGTTTTGATGTTTATATTATACATTTAAGTGCTGAAAACACACACAAAACAGAGTTTCATTTCATTTTACCTATGTATACTTATTATGTTTACAGTTTGACAGTTACAGTTTTACATTCCCAGCTTTACATATTTTATACATTTACCGATCGCTTCTATGGCAGCTATATGATATAGTTGCCCGATTTTTATGAAATTAAAACAAAAATTCTAGAATAATAAAAAAAAGCTTACATCTCAGAGTAGATAAAAATACGTTGAAAAACAACGAAGTTATAATTTTTTTCCTATTAATTTCCCGATTGTTCCTATGGTAGCTATATCATATAGTCGTCCGATTTTCATAAAATTTTTACCAAAATTCAGAAATAATATAAAATGGCCATATCTAAAAAATAGTGCAAAAATGTTGAAAAAACAGCAAAGTTATAATTATTTTTCTAAAAATTTATCGAACATTTGTATGGGAGCTATATGATATAGTCGTCCGATCCGGCCCGTTCCGACATATATAGCAGTGAGAGCATATAGCTTTAAAACTGAGGGACTAGTTTGCGTAGAAACGGACAGACGGACGGGCAGACGGACATGGCTAGATCGACTCGGCTGTTGATGCTGACCAAGAATATATATACTTTATAGGGTCGGAAAGGTCTCCTTCACTGCGTTGCAAACTTCTGACTGAAATTATAATACCTTGCAAGGGTATAAAAATCTCATACATTCATAAAATAATATATTTTTACAATTCTCTTCATTAAATCCGTATTTTGTTATTAATACTATTACAGGCAATACCCGTCCCTCTTAAACTTTGATATTCTGAACTGGAGCTTATTTTTCCGACGGGACTACCTTTTCTAATTGCACCATGCCCGGAACCATCAGCTGTTCAGGGCTGAAGGCTGAAACTCCGAGCGACGCACAAAGCTCTGCATCCCTGGGCCGCTGCTCAATAATAAAAGCGAATCTCGGTGTTTTTTATTTTCACATGCCCGGCCTTTAGAGTGCAAGAATGGGAATCCTGGAAAAGATAGCCGAGATCGAGCGCGAAATCGCGCGGACCCAGAAGAACAAAGGTTGGCATAATTTTGTGTATTTAACCGGTTAAAAAGGCGGATGAGAGAGGCACCTTCGAAATTCGCCGCGCTGGCCATCGGAATTTAGGTTAGGATTTGCTCAGCGTCTCTAAACCCGAATGTGTTTACTCCTCTTTTCCAGCCACCGAGTACCATTTGGGCCTCCTCAAGGCGAAGTTGGCCAAGTACCGCTCCCAGCTGCTGGAACCGTCAAAAAAGGGCGAGAAGGGTGAGGGATTCGATGTGCTAAAGAGCGGCGATGCGCGGGTGGCGCTGATCGGCTTTCCCTCGGTGGGCAAGTCCACTATGTTGTCCACCCTTACAAAGACGGAATCGGAGGCGGGTAAGCTGCAGCCGGATAGCCACACCCCTCCTTTAAAAATCTTTTCACCTGTGTAAATCCTCAGCAAACTATGAGTTCACCACCTTGACCTGCATTCCGGGTGTCATCGAGTACCAGGGCGCCAACATACAGCTGCTGGATCTGCCAGGAATCATCGAGGGCGCCGCCCAGGGCAAGGGGCGTGGTCGCCAGGTCATCGCCGTGGCCCGAACTGCCGATCTGGTGCTCATGATGCTGGACGCCACCAAGCCAAATGTCCACCGGGAGCTACTCGAACGCGAGTTGGAGTCCGTGGGCATCCGGCTGAACAAGCGCAAGCCCAACATCTACTTCAAGCAGAAGAAGGGCGGTGGCCTGAGCTTCAACGCCACCTGTTCGCTGACGCGCTGCAACGAGAAAATGGTCCAGACCATCCTGCACTCCTTCAAAATCTTCAATGCCGAGGTGCTCTTCCGCGAGGACTGCACCGAGGACGAGTTCATCGACGTAGTCACCGCTAACCGTGTGTATCTGCCCTGTCTGTACGTTTACAACAAGATCGACCAGATCTCTATCGAGGAGGTGGACCGCCTGGCGCGTCAGCCCAACTCCATTGTCGTCAGCTGCAACATGAAGCTCAACCTGGACTACATGCTGGAGGCCCTCTGGGAGGCGCTGCAGCTGATTCGGGTCTACACAAAGAAGCCCGGAGCACCGCCAGACTTTGACGATGGTCTCATTCTTAGGAAGGCAAGTTCATCCATGCGTCCGGCATCCTGATGGAACCGCTCTTTACCCGTGTACTTTCTCTTTCCACAGGGTGTCAGTGTGGAGCACGTGTGCCACGCCATCCACCGCACGCTGGCTGCCCAGTTTAAGTACGCCCTGGTGTGGGGCACCTCCACAAAGTACTCGCCGCAGCGCGTCGGAATCGCCCACGTAATGGCCGACGAGGACGTCATACAGGTGGTGAAGAAGTAAACATTGTTGCAGCTGAAATATATTCTATGCTATACTTAAAGTCGAGACGGAGGCGGTCTCTCTGGTACATAACGATTTATTTGAAACATGCTAACAATTCAATCTCACTTGGCTGCCGCATTGCTGGCAGAGTTGGCCGCCGCCGCCGACGTATACGATTTGTTCAGGCTGCTGATGGCCGTGATATTGGAGAAGGGCGTCGGGCCGCTGCTGATCCGCTGGGGCTCCACCGACGGCAGAGGAGGGTTGTCAATCCGCTCAAAGACGTTTGTGGCGTCCCTCAATCTGTAGCGGCGCAGGTTCAGGTAGTGTTCCTTCTGCTCCTCCACACGCTGGTGCACTTCATGCAGTCGCCCGGCCAGCGACATGAAGCTCTCGCTCAGCTGGCGGAAGCAGCGCATCATATCCGTCGGGGAAATGCTCTGCGGGTTGGAAAGGGCGTGCATGAGGCTCTCGGTGTGGGCAATCTTCTGCCGCAACGCTATCAAATCCTGCTCGTACTTGGCCACCAGGCACTGGAAGTACTGGAACGGAGCACTGTGCTCGAACTGCAGACCGGCAGGCGTGTCCTGCGTACGCTGCGCCATCTCCAGCGACTGAATGGCCTTGGATGTTTCCTGGCGCAACAGCCCGATCTGCTGATTGTTACTCTCCACCGAATTGGACATGTTCTGCAGCGCCCACCTCAGGTTGTTGATTTCGTGGCTTACGTTGCTGAACTTGGAGGTGGAAGTTCGGCTGATGTCCGAGGAGGTTGTCTTCTGCTGCTTGATGTACACCTTCAGGGCATCCACGGTCTTGACAATCTCGTCGGGTACTTGGGTCTCCTTGATCTGGAAGGAGTGTCGACTGTTTAGTTGGGAATGTCGGGGGTTTATTCCCAATCTTACCTTGATGCCATCCTGCTTATTGTCCCCCAACTTGGGCTGCGTGGCGCTTACGTCGATGCCGCCCAGGCCCACGAATGTCGAGGGTGCAGCGGCCGCCGGTTGGCCCGCGGGCTTTCCAAAGATTCCGCCGCCTCCAAGCGCCGTCGTTGAACTGGTCGTTCCCAATTTCAAACCCGTATTGAAGGGCTGCGCTGTAGCCGTCGTCGTGGTGGTGTTGAAGTTCAGACTGGCCGCCGTTGTGGCTTGGGGCTTGGCAAAGGCGAAGGAGCCAATCCCAGCTGCAGCGGTCGTGGTTGTCGTCCCGAATCCAAAAGCCGGCGGTGCAGTAGTGGGTGCACTAGTCGCCGGCGTTGCGAAGGAAAACGTGGGTGCAACGGTGCCCACAGCGGGTGCAGCGGCTCCAAAGGTTGGCACCTGCGTGGCCGCTGCGCCAAAGCCCGTGGTGGCAGCAGGAGCTGCCCCAAAAGCGCTAGTGGCGCCCGCTACTGCCCCAAAAGCCGGAGTGGCGGTTGGTGCCGCTCCAAACGCTGGAGTCGCAGCTGGCGCTGCTCCAAAAGCAGGTGTGGCAGTTGGAGCTGCTCCGAAGGCAGGAGTGGCTGCTGTTGCTGCTCCAAAAGCCGGAGTGGCTGCCGGTGCTGCTCCAAACGCTGTGGTGGCGGTGGCTGTTCCAAAGGCCGGAGGAGGAGCCGTCGTTGTCGCTGGACGCGCGCCAAAACCAAGGGCGCCTGGTGCAGCTGCGGCGCCTCCTATACCGGTGTTTGTGGAGGGTGAAAACGAGAAGGACATCTTCAGTGGGGTCCCTAAACACTTTGCACACCTAAATTTTGCCTAATTCTATTTCTTTTATTCTACAATTAGCGGAATTGTGTTTTTAATGTGCGTCGCCTAGTGTGACCGCAAAATGATTAATAAATATACCGTACAATACGAAAATATACCAAATAAATATTTTTAGCTCTTTTTTGTCAATTTAGCTACTTTTTCTTAGTGGTGAGTTTTGAGCTATATGTGCTGAGTTTAGTGGTATTTTCCGCAGTTCCAAATTATTTTGATATCTGTCTCACTGAATTACCGAAATTCTGAATTTAAGGTTGACCAAAATATTTCTTACAGCTTCTTCAGATCGAATCAATTTTGTGGGTGTTTTCTTTTTCTCAATGTTCTCTAATGAGCATAACCGCATTTTATGCGTACCAAAATGAGTACCTTTAAGTTTAAGAAATATTTATAAGAACAAATATATATTTATTATTAGAGAAAAACTACTACTTTCCTTTAGCTTTTATAGTACCGATATTAACGGGAAATCTACAAGGGAAATTGGTCAATTAATGCCAAATTCCACTTGTAAAGAAACACTGAGCTTTTCATATATTATATTTTAAAAATTCAGCTTATGAAAGATTATGTATACAATTCGCTTAGAACTTTTAAATTAATTGTACAGTTTAAAGGTTAATAAATATTGAGAAAATAATAAAATGGGATTAATATAAATGTAGCTGAGAATGCAAAGTTGCAAAATAAAATTCTAGTGGGAACGGGGCCTTAAATGATGTTGGACTTCGAAATGAACAATCTACCCTATTTAAATTCCGAGAAACATTTTCATTGCTGTCACATATAAATTGTTAAGCATTTTATTGCTAGAACATGCCAAATGAACTTGAAATTATGTATTTTAAGCGTTTTCAGTTGTAGATATGATCGATCTAGCCTAAAAGTGGCCTTTGTGGCAGCACTGGCACGCACACCAACACAGGCCGTGGTGAGTTTGCGTGTGTGTACCTCGTCATATGACATTTTTCACGTTCGTAGCTGGAATTAATTCGTCGTCACTTGCTTTTTTCGACTTGCACTGTACACCACGGGAAGGAAAAGTTAGACAATAATGGCCAGCCAGACGCAGGGAATCCAGCAGTTGCTCGCTGCCGAAAAGAAGGCAGCCGAGAAGGTCGCCGAGGCCCGTAAACGTAAGTAGCCCGAAAATATTATTACTCCAATTGGAATAAAAGGGGCGAAGCAGAAAACCAACCGTTTTTTGCACCCCTCCCCCTCAAACGGCCGTTGTGCCTGGTCACATGATGTGGTGGAAAAGAGTAAATATTGTGGGGCTCCAGAGTTGTACTCATTTTTGCCGTTTTTCTTCGGGGTGCTCCCGCAGGCAAGGCAAGGAGATTGAAGCAGGCCAAGGATGAGGCCACCGAGGAGATCGAGAAGTTCCGCCAGGAGCGCGAGCGCGCCTTCAAGGAGTTCGAGGCCAAGGTGAGTTCTGCACCTTGAGTATGTGTGTAACCCGTGAGCTAACTTTTTTGTCTAACCGCCTGCAGCACATGGGCAGCCGCGAGGGGGTGGCAGCCAAGATCGATGCTGATACTCGCGTGAAGCTGGCGGACATGGAGCGGGCCATCCAGACCCGCAAGGAGCCCGTGATCCAGGAGATCCTGCAGTACGTGTACAACATCTCGCCCGAGGTCCACAAGAACTACAATCACAAGTAGAGAGGCAGAGGCGTCGAGAGTGCTCTCCAAATTCGATGTCCATGCATAATTTAGCCCCGTAATAATAGTGGTTACTTTACTGAAACACTGCTGTATTATTATTCCATACATTAAAGTGAAAATGCGTTGTTGTTCCATATAAATCTAGCGAGAAAAGCAGAGTTTGTCTCCCCTCCATCCCATCTCGGGATTGTATTATTTCTGTTTTGTGTTTTGCCCAATACACGTTGTTGTTTTATCTGAATAGTCATGTGTTTTAATTGTTTTTGAGTTTCTTAGATTTTCTGATACGGGTTGGCCAAAGTTGCTGTCGGTTGCTTTATTGAGAAGCATTATACAATTCCATCTTTGTAACGGTTGAGAGAAAACATCTTATTATTATGAATAATTTTATATAGTTAAAACATTTACTACAATCTTTCTTTTACATTAACATTTAAGTTTTTAGATATCAAGGGAAAATACTTAAATTCAATCGGAAGTTTTATATTCATATATTATGTATGTATATAGATTTCTTACTTCTTATTATTGAATTTAAGAGATATTGTTTTAGGAAGCACAAAAACAAAAGAGCTTTATTTAATTTTGCTTATGTTATTAATTTATTTAGTTTTTTTTATTGCCTTAAGATTTTGTTTCGTTAAAGGTAATGTTACAAATTTTGCTTTTTACAACGTTTTAGCCGAGCTTTTCTACTGTAATATTTTTTATTTATGTACCCTAGACCATTTTATTATTTTCAAAATTGATTTTTAATTCGAAGCAAAACGGCCCACTTTTCCAAAAAAGAATTTTGCGGTGAAACGGCTAAAGTTTGCTTAATAAATTAAATATCATATAATAACACATTTTAACAAGTTTTTTTTATTCATTTTTGTCCTAAAAAAGTTGTTTTTCGGTGTATTTTGATATCTTTCGATATCAAAACACTATAATGCATTAGGATTTTTATAAATTTTATTTATACAATTTTTTACTCTTTTTTTTTTTTGTATCAAAATTGATAGTCAAAACCCCGATTTTTAATAAAAATAATTAAATTAATTTGTTAAATAAAAAATATAATAAAACTTAAAATTAAAAAAGCTCGACGTGAGTACCTGTAGAATTAGTTAAATAAGTTAAAAAATAAATATTTAAATAATAAATAGTTAGAGTCGACTATTCGATAGACTGTAATCGAGTGTACGAAATCGAGTGTGCTTATCAATTATGTGAACACACTGAAAGCTAAGAGAAAAATAGTAGTTACTCTTTCACCGTTAAATCGACTCGACGGAAATCCGTTCCAAACACAAGACGAGTGCAATAGTTAAATGTGATATTAGAATATAGTTTAGAAAAATGCTACTAAATCGTGGAAAGTGTTTTGTTGCTGGCCTCACTGGAAATTTACACAACTAACACCGCCATCTGTTCGATGCCTCGTGAAAGCCCAACGAAAGGTGAAGGTGTAGGTGGGAGAAGCGGGACAGATTCTAGCTAAATTTAATACACGCACGTTAGCGAAATGCTAAATTTAGGCAGTGCCAAAGTGGCCGCTTTGGAGGAGTCCCCTCCGCTTTCTACGAACGATGAAAGCTTCCAACTGCTGGAGCGGAGTCCGCCCGCCGTCCCTCTGGAGCCCCCTTTCACCACCCCCCTTGCGCCCTTCGATATGGAGCTGATGAAGCGTACCGGGCTCCACGAACGGCTAGTGGCAAAGGAAAGCATCTGGGGGGGAACGCAGCGCTTCGTGGACCAAGAGAGATCAGCGTCGCGTGAATCACTCAGTTCCGCTGATAAGAGAGCCAGGTTTGCGGAAAGGTAAGCGCGAAGAGCGGGAAATTCCAATCAGACCTTTTTAGGCCGAGGAAGTGCCCATTAAAGATAATTGGAGCCGCTCTCAGTGTTCGGTCTGCGTTTTGTTGTCCAGTTTCTGTAATTCAGATTTCTTTGTTCGGAATATAGGGTGTCCAGAGGGGTATTCTTATTCAGCTACCATTGTCAGTTTAAAAGGGCAAATAAAAAGATTTTTCGTGGCCCATTACGTTTCCCCCGAAGTATCATTATTTATTCATGTTTACAAATTGCATAAAAAGCTGAAAAATACAATTTTATTTACATATTGAATTGATATATGGGCATTTACATAAAAATGTCAGCCAAAACAGTAAAACTTCTCTGTTTTTAATAAAGTCACATTAAAAAGTGACAGTGACAGAATATTCTAAAACATATTTCGAAAATTTCAAATGAGAATTTGAGAAAACGCGATTTTTCATTATTTTGGTGATTAAAATTGAATATAAAATTCCTTAATTTTTCTTAAATTTCTTGAATTCCAGCAAATGTTCAAAATCAACACTTGCAGCAATTATTATTGACCCCAGCAAGAGCTTTAAGTTTACATTAAAAAAAAAAACAATAAAAATTATTTAAATTCGTACAAATGTCAAATTCGAGGGAATAGAAATACCCACATCATCTTATATGTCAGTAAAATTCTATTATATTTTTAAGGAAATTATGCTTATCATTGTGTTGACTCATTTAAGCCAGGGTACTTCCCCATTTTATGGGTACATACATTAGCTGAATGCTAGAGTACTTATCGCTTGAGATAATTATCTGCCGTATGTGTATCGATGTGAGCAAACAATTATTGACTCTTTTTTCTAAATAAACGCAGAAATAATCTTTTATTTACTTTTTGCTCTTAACACTTGGGAGATCAGATAGGTCAGCATGTGCTCAAAGCTCTCTTTCAAAACAGCTGACTCTGCCGCAGCTGTGGAGACTGATGGTGGGGCTATAGCTACCTATAAACCCCCACCCGGCGAATGACACGCGCTCTTTAGTCTCGCTCTTTAGTCTCGCAGCCTCGCTCTTTGGCTCCCTTGTGGCGCTCTTGCTCGCCAGCTTTTGTGCTAGAGCTGGGAAACTATCGATAGTGACACCATTCGATATTTTCGATGTTTTGAAAACGAAAATTCGATACTATCGATAGTATCGTTTTTTTACGATTCTTTTTGCAAATTAAAGTTATAGCAATTTCAAATAGAATTATAATACTATTCAATATGTTTTGACTAAGTAATTAACATAAATATTCTATCCAAGCAACTTTGCACAAATAAAATTGTATTACCATTGCTAAACATACGCTTAGACTCTGAAGACGTGGCGTAGACGCACCCTTTCTTTTGAGATTCAGTTAATATTTTTCACCACCAACTCCAATTTAAGTTAATTTAGAATACATTTTTATTATAAAAAAAAAAATATATATATACATATATATATATATTTGTTTGCATTTTTCTTACTAAATTTCAGCAACAAAGCAGAGATATAAAAATAGTCCCGTACTATCGATAGTGATAAAAAACTATCGATGGTGGCTCAAAAAAAGGAAAAAGTCGATACCTCGATAGTACCATCGATAGTTTCCCAGCTCTATTTTGTGCTTGTTGGTTGCCATTGCCAACGTTGGCGGACTTTAATTTAGTGTTTAATAAATATTTGCTTAGACTAGAGGTGAAAATTTCTCCCGTGAATTTTCCGCGGCAAATGTGATACAATCAGTTGGTAGGTCGCGAACTTAAGTAAAGAATTAAAATCCGGATCACCCTTTAGGGAAACTGGTTATTGGCCACATTTCCGTTTGTGTCGAGTTCCCCCACCAAGTATTAATCATCCGTTTCGGCAGAAAACCCAAAGACAATATTTTCTTTATTCGTGGCTGTGCCGTTTCGCGCATCGTTTTTTGTGTACTTTGAGTATTACGATCTTGGCGGATGAATAAGCCTTTGATGCATATACTAGTAATGCCGATATGATCGAGCACATTTTAGCATGAGCATCTAAATTATATAAGCTGTATGTCTGCCACCTTTCGCCGCTGCAAAAATATCCGAAAAATCAAACCCCACACATGTTTATTAAATTAATTTCTCTCACACTCTCGTGACCTTGATTAAATTAAAGGCCAACGTGTGGGCCTAGAAAAAGATTAGTCTTCATAAAACTTTTTGTATGTAAATTTTAACATTATTTTTTGTTCAAGAAGTTGGAGATACCATAATTATGACTTGTGAAGGCCGAAAAATTTGAAAAAACTGCCCAATGAACTAAAAAAAAAAACTCAGACGAACAGTAAACAAAAGAGAACGAGAGGCAACAATAAAAGTCAAGAGCGGGCTAGATTTATGAAAGAAGGAAGGGAAATTAGTTAAAGTTCTCGAATTTTGTTGTTGCTTACAAAACTACCAATCAATAACTGATTTTGGTGGGAATATTATAATTAATGAACACAGCAAAGTGAATAAAAATCGTTTTACTGTTGCAAAGAACTATACTTACTACTCCCTAAAGAAAATATAAATAAGTACTTGCCTTGATTAAATAAGAATAACAACTTTTTTGTAAATTGATTCAGATTAAAGCTTAATTATACAAGTGTAATGCTGAATTAAAGATAAGGCAGGCATTATTACATTCGTTTAAAGTCAGACCAGACAGTCGTCTTCAGTGTTATCAGCAATATAATAAGAGTACAGCTTATACTTACATTATTACTTATTTATTTAATTGAGTTTCAGTAGTTGATTTTTATTCATAAATCCCTTGAATTTATATACAATTTTTAATGAGAAATCGTCTATGAATCATTAGATATGTCTCATCCAGCAAGCTCAACCTGAAATTAAATCACATGCAGCTGTTTTTTTTAGCTAGCAAATATCAAATGTTTGTATGTAATAAAGTGTGTTTGTTTTGTTTGGGTTTATAGCTCATTATCAGCTCACAACGAACTACTGTGCTCTGTAAACTCTTTGTACAAAATAAACTAGTGATAGGCCTAACATATGCTGAGATGATAGAGGAAACGTTGACTGAGGTCATATTGAGCGCTTCCCCTCGGATAATTGTTTAATTAAATGGTTCAGCTCATAAAATTTCACCAGCTTTAGCTCTTCCCCGGGGTGACCTAAATATGATACTGGACGTTTTGCCCTAAGGAGCTCTCCGCACGCCAGGAGTCGCCAACGGGAAATTTAACGAGGCTTGCTCCCGTTAATGGCCTTCAAACATTAACATTAACATTAGAGGCTGAAAGCATTCCCGCTTACTTTCTATTGATATTCTTTAGGATTGTGATGAACATACAAGGTTTATTTATGGCCATAGTTGTGTTAATATTAAATGAACTATAATTATTTAGTTTACTACTTTTTATTAACTTTTAGTTCATCGAAATTAAGAGAAATTTTGGCAGGGAAGACACCCAGACATTCGCAAGTAGTACTAAGGCTGGCTAAAACTCGACATATACTACATACGTATACCATTTTCTTCAACAGAAAAAACAAATTCAATTAAACTAACAGTTAAATTCCTTCAATACCCCCTGAACCCAAGCTAGAAACTAATTTCACATACTTCGTCACTGTCCAATTCCACAGCAACGCCTCAACACTCCAACTGCAAGACGCTGACGGCCCCCAGGCCAATGGCAAGAAGCCCACTGGGGAAAGGACCAACCCATCGAATCTCTCCACCCCCCTCCTGCCAATGGCTGAGCCGGGCTCGGTGAAAGGCAACGGAAGCAACGGCCTTTACGATGATCGCGAGTGCAGCTGTCCGAGGGAGTTCTACCAGCGGGGCGAGATCAACACCTCGCTGTTCTTCGAGGACTGCATACGGTCCATTGACTTTGTGCTGGCCTACAGGATTAACCCCCATGAACCGACGGAGACGGAGAACACGGAGAAGCGGCGGGTCTTCGAGGCGAATCTCGCAAGCCAGGGTCTGGAGGTGGAGGCCAGCCAGAAGGATCAAATCTGCTTCGTGAAGGTGAGGCGGAACTTTAATCTTAAAGTTTAGAGGATGTCTTAAAACTAATCTTTATTACTTACAGATCCATGCTCCTTTAGAGGTCCTGCGCCGCTATGCAGAGATACTTAAACTGCGTATGCCTATGAAGGAGGTGAGTCCGCAATGATTGTGTTGTTTTTGTCGCTTTATCTCATTTCAACTCAAAATTAAAAGCATACTTTTGGGCGCTGTATAAAAACAAGAAAGTATAAGTTTTTGGCTGTTTTATTTTCCTTATTATTGATTTTTTCCATTTACTTATTGAATTATTTTATGTTTTGTATGATTATAGTCGTTGTGCAATTTGCGCATATTTGAAAGGTCGAATCGTCTACAAAATGCGGCTCAATACCTGTCCAAGAAGGTTGGCCAAAGCGTTGAATCAGTTAAATATTTTACCAATAATCCTCTTAACTTATTTATTAAATTAATCGTTTAGCTACTGCTGCTGTGAGTTGTCTAAACCCGAACTTACTTAATCCCAAGCCTAACCAGAACCGTTTACAAAAGCAAATATTCCGTAGAGCAAGCTATATTTACTTATTTTGAAAAAACTTTCAGTCTGTATTCTATTTAAACGCTTTAACTCTTTCAGATTCCAGGCATGTCCGTGGTCAATCGCTCAACAAAAAGCATATTTTCTAGTCTCAAAACCGTTTTCCAATTCTTCCTGCGCTATATCTATGTGGATGAAAACGTTTTTCCCAAAAGAGCCCATCGTTTCACCGCCATTTACAGTCGCGACAAGGAGTACCTGTGAGTGGAAGTGTGAATTATGTAAAAGCCTTACTCATATTATATATTTTTTATTTTCTGGTAGCTTTGACATCCGGCAGGACTGCTTTTTTACCACTGCCGTTCGCTCCCGCATCGTAGAGTTTATCCTGGACCGCCAGCGGTTTCCTGCCAAGAATCAGCATGACATGGCCTTTGGCATAGAGCGGCTGATAGCCGAAGGTGTCTATTGCGCTGCCTATCCTTTGCATGATGTGAGAACCAAATATATATTTTAAATGGAGATTGTTAAATGTAATGTTCAGAGATGCCACATAAATTGGCCTCTATTTTGTGCGAAGACTTTAAAGATTTAAAATCACGAATTAGAAATTATATTAAAAACGAAATATTTTCTTATTTGCAGGGCGAAATAAAAGAGACAGGTACCATGAGAGCCCTGCTGTACAAACATTGGGCGTGCGTACATAAATGGTATCGCTATCAGCCCTTGGATGACATCAAGGAATACTTTGGCGTTAAAATTGGTGAGGAAATATGAGATTTTGTTAAATCAAACGCAAGCAAATGATAATTTTTGGCTGTCTATAGGTCTGTACTTTGCCTGGCTGGGTTACTACACATACATGCTGCTACTGGCCTCGATAGTGGGTGTAATCTGCTTCCTATACTCCTGGTTCTCCCTTAAGAACTATGTGCCTGTGTGAGTTTTCCCTGAATACTTTTAAAGTTTTCCCTTTCGAGTTACATAGAACCTTTAAATATCTTTACAGCAAAGATATCTGTCTGCGTGGTAATACAAATATTACAATGTGCCCGCTCTGTGATTGGTGCAACTTCTGGGACCTGAAAGAGACCTGCAACTATGCCAAAGTCACTTACCTCATTGACAATCCCAGCACCGTGTTTTTTGCGGTATTCATGTCCTTTTGGGCCACCCTGTTCTTGGAGCTGTGGAAGCGCTACTCAGCTGAGATCACGCATCGCTGGGATCTCACGGGCTTTGATGTGCATGAGGAGCACCCGAGGCCGCAGTACTTGGCCCGCTTGGAGCACATACCGCCTACTAGGGTGGACTATGTGACGAACATTAAAGAGCCCACGGTTCCCTTTTGGCGGATGAAGCTACCGGCCACTGTTTTTAGCTTTTCGGTGGTTCTGCTGCTGATAGCCTTGGCCTTTGTTGCCCTGCTGGCCGTGGTGGTTTACCGCATGTCCATGCTGGCGGCTCTTAAAGTGGGCGCCAGTCCCATGACCACATCGAGTGCCATTGTCCTGGCCACTGCATCGGCGGCCTTTGTGAACTTGTGTCTGCTCTACATACTTAATTATGTGAGATCTTTCACCTTTCTTTTACGTACTTTTATATTGATTAAGATTACCTTTTCTTTGTAGATGTACAATCATCTGGCCGAGTACCTTACGGAGCTGGAAATGTGGCGCACGCAAACGCAGTTCGACGACTCCCTTACCCTCAAGATTTACCTGCTGCAGTTCGTCAACTACTATGCCTCCATCTTCTACATAGCCTTTTTCAAGGGGAAATTCGTTGGGCACCCTGGGCAGTATAATAAGCTGTTTGACTACCGCCAGGAGGAGTGCTCTTCTGGCGGCTGCCTAACCGAGCTGTGCATCCAACTGGCCATTATCATGGTGGGCAAGCAGGCATTCAACACCATCTTGGAGGTGTACCTGCCCATGTTTTGGCGAAAAGTCTTGGCCATTCAAGTGGGTCTGTCGCGTCTGTTTAACAACACGCCGAATCCCGATAAGGCGAAGGATGAGCGCTGGATGCGCGACTTCAAGCTACTGGACTGGGGTGCTCGCGGCCTGTTTCCCGAGTATCTGGAGATGGTCTTGCAGTATGGATTTGTGACTATCTTCGTAGCGGCTTTTCCGCTGGCGCCGTTTTTTGCGCTTCTGAATAATATCCTGGAGATGCGACTGGATGCCAAGAAACTGCTAACGCACCACAAGCGCCCTGTGTCGCAGCGAGTTCGGGATATTGGCGTGTGGTACAGGATACTGGACTGCATAGGAAAGCTAAGCGTTATCACAAATGTAAGACAATCTGATGGGGATCAAAAGGAATTATGTTAAAGTTTGATATTTATTTCAGGGCTTTATCATAGCCTTCACTTCGGACATGATCCCGCGTTTGGTGTATCGCAATTATGTTTCAAAGGATGGCACTCTGAATGGCTACTTGGATTTCACTCTGTCCGAGTTTAAAGTCTCTGATTCACCCACCTTGAACAGCTTGGCTGGAGATCTCACTAACATAACCACATGCAGGTAGCACAGAGAAATATTTGAATAATATTTAGATGCTATATTTTGTTGGATTGCCTTTCCAGATACACGGACTTCCGATTGCCACCCTCGTCACCCGAAAAGTACAATTTGAGCAGCATGTTCTACATCATATTGGCCTGCCGATTGGGCTTCGTGGTGGTCTTCGAGGTTAGTTGCTTTATACCTTTTTATTAACCTATTCCAAAACATTGATGTGTGGACATGACATTAACTTTAAGCTTTAAGGATATACCAAGAATCCAGATGAGTTCAAGCATTGAATGTGTGTGGGCTCTGGGGAATGACTTCGAGGTTCTCAGTGGGCGACGACTTCTTTAGCTTCCGATAGAGGGCATAGATACCATAGCAAAATAGTGCATTCAACACTGGAAAATAAATAAGTACTGTATAGTTATTTCACCAAAAAATTATCTATACCTAAACTTACCTATGAAGATGCCGAAAATGAGGCTTCTTGCTATTCTTCGATCCACGGCAGCATCAATTTCGTCAATTCGGAGCTCCAGACTCACGAAAATGCCGGTCTCAACGACCATCGATAGGCAAGAATTGATCAGCCATGGGGTAATGCAAACGAGTCGTTTCTAGGGATCAAATAAGGATACTAATGGGATTTCATTGATGCAAAACAAAGCCTCACCTGCTTGATGCCATCGACTAGAAGGCAGGCCACCATTAGATTTATCAATGCCTTCACCCAAATTATTAGAGTTGCTGTCATGTAGAAAACCTGCGAAAACTCTCGCACCCACAGGTAGTCCACTAAAAATATTTACTTTCAAATAAATTTGTCTATTTTAATCTTTAAAATTTACCCAAGGTGGAAAAGAAGGTTCCGAATGGCGTCAAAGCCTCCACTTCATCAGAGTGCTCCCATTTTTCAATGTCCACGAAATCAAAGTACAGGTAATAGCTTGAGGGCGCCAGGACACTGAGAGCTATTAGAACTTCCATACAGGCTATGCTGAGGCCCACCGAGGACAGGCTCCAGAATTCAAAGTTCTTCATTTTGGACGCGTTAAAAGATAAATCCTGAACTGTTCCTTATAACTTTTGCTTTTTGGTTTCGCTTATTTTGTTGGTTATTTCTTTTGTGTATCCTTTTTTTTTTGTTTGGGAATCGCGTCCGCTCGCCTCTGGCTGTTTACAGCTACTGACCAAATGTCAGACTCTAAGTAGAACTAGGGCCAATTATCAGTTTAGCTGACACTTTGTTCCATTTCATTTTACTCTCACTTTCTCTGCATTCTCTGGCCGTACTTATGTTGCAAAAGCCAAAGTCCATGGTACATATGTTGCATGTATGCTTTCTGTACCGGTTTTTGGTTCTATGGGGTTTCCCTTCCGAATAGTGCGGAGAGCGTGTGCCCAATTCCCTGAATATTAGGGTAGAGGCTAACGCGTTGTCTTAGCTGTACTTAGCCAATCGCATTTACTGCAACTTGGCCGGAAAGTTGGCATTCGCAAGGCTTCTTTTGGTGACCACAATTAGCCTGGAAAATATTGCAAATCAGGGACAAAAGGGCTGATGAAATATCACTCACTCAACATTGACTTGTTTGCTTTTAGAACTTTGTGGCGCTGGTGATGATTCTAGTGCGTTGGTGTATCCCAGACATGAGTGTGGAGCTGCGGGATCAAATCCGACGAGAAGTCTATGTTACTAATGAAATTATCATCGAGCAGGAGGCGCATCGAGCTCGTTTCGGTATGTGCTTAAATAATAATAACATTATATTATAATAACAATTCTAAATATTTATAGAGCGTGCCAAGCGCAGCAGTTCGGTGCTTCAGACGCCAGTGGACCAGGACTTGGATGCCGCCTCCATACAGGAGCCCAATGCCAAGTTTATCAATATTGAAAAGCTGCTTACTGAGAATCTCACACAAATTGAAATGGATGCGATTATTCACGGCGAAAACCCAATAACAGGCATCTCCGGTACCGATTGTTAGGGCACAAAATGCTCACTGACCATGGATACATAAATCTTCTAGTTCTAAGCTCGTTCTCAAAGTGATTCATTGTGTTACGGATGTTCCTTCAGTCACTTAATTAGGCCTTAGTTATGACTCATTTATGGAAATTGATTTATTTATTGCAATTGTATTGCAATTTGGTTATTAGCTTTACTCGAGTCTCCCTCTTTTATGAAAGTAACGTAACCTTTGCTAGGTTATCCTTTTTTTTTTAATTTCTAAAGGGAAATGCTTTATCGGAGACTAAGTTTTTATAATTATGTATTAATGCAGCCCAAGCGAGTGCCAATCGACAAACGAGCACAATTATTGTAACTGTACAACTAGTGAATATCACCAACTTTGAAACCTTGACGAAACTCACTTATTGTTAAAAGATAAACTCAGGCTCTCACACGACTCGAAAGTGAACATTTATTTTAGATAGTGTTACACACACCTATACATATACATAAATATTTATTGCATTCATTGAATTGTATGTATATTGATGTTGATATACTGAAATCTCTATTTAATGTTGAAAAAAATTATATTGTAATAAAGAAAAAGCTACGAATTGGTGGACTATAATATGGAATGTTTTATTATCTAATAATTATTTTAGAAATATTTTCTATGGAGCATCTTAAAAATATATACATATATATTATTTTACAAATACTTTATTTGTTTCTTTCTATATTTTGCCTCTCCTTTATTGCATACTATGTATTAAGAACACATATTACTGATCAGCCTCAACAACCGAGTCGATCTAGCGGTTTAACCCAATTTTGTTTGTATATTTATGTACATTGGTAAATTAGGAAAATAAAATAATATACATAGTGAAAAGATTTAAAATAATATATGTAAATGATAGAAATTTTGCTATTAGCAACCAGACCCAATAAAAGATATATGTACATATCTATATATAATCATATAAATTTACAAATTTTAAGTGGAATTGTTTAATACTTTTTTCAGTTGCAATGCCGGTTTTTATTAAGTATCTGTATATGCCAATATATCTTCTATATTCTTTAATTCTACATTATTTCAGTGCATTTACATTTTTCATACATTTTTGTTATAACATGAAAGCCTAAAATAGTGCTATAGGCCTTTATATTTATTTGTTTATTATTGAAATTCCCTTGCAAATCGATATGCTCGCCTGTTGTCATCGTAGCGCCCTGTGACGCCACCAGCCAGCCCTGGTCTAATAAGAGAGCAACGTCCACATCTTCCTTCAACCAAAGTGGGGTGAAGGGGGTTCGAATGGCGCAACAAGCATGCATTCGTTCGGCGCCACAGCAGGCGACTTCCTCGAGATACAGATACTCAGGGCCAGATACTTGGTATCCAAGTATCTCGCTCTCTCTCTGTCTCTCTCTTGGCTGCGCATGAGTTGTGGCGACAGTGACGTCACTCGAGAAAAGCGTGCGCGCTCCACCGCTCGATGTGGGGCGGCTCTCAGCTGATTGCGACCGCCAGCGGCGCGCACATGGCGGCATTGTGAAAATACTACACGCCTCAATTTCATTCGCTTGCCTCGTTTTCCGCAGTGCAGAGGCTGAGCGAGCGGTGAATACGATTCCTGCCTTGGATTTGGGTTCAGTTAACGGCGCGAATTGGTAGAATCAACACCGCAGGACGCACGCAGGACGACGCGATGCCGGGCTCGTTGACCAGTGCATTCGTCTATTGTCCCAAAGCGTTGTGGTGGCCCAGGCTGGAGCCGCAGCTCCTGGCGGCGTTGCCCTAGGATATACTATAAACGTAGTGCCCATAACCGTTGTCCTGGCAACTTGCAGTCGCCTTCCAGGGGTTGTGGCGGGTCAAGCTAAGCTGTCTCCCCCCACGTTCCGAATTTCTGGGTGAGCTCTCAGTCAGCTATATTTGTCTTTATTAGTTTCATAATTGAATAGCACGATGAAGTCGTAGTTCCTACGGTGTCATGTTCTGCCAATTAAGGCTTTGCGGTTTGCTGCAATGGCCAAACGCTCCATGGTCTTGGTCTCACCTATAGACTGCCCAAATTATCTCTTTTAATATTAGGATAAATGTGCCAAAAACTGTGGCTATTAAAAAACATACTAAATATATTTATTTTATATTTTAATCATAGCATTTTTTAAGGTACGATTAAAGGTCAATTAATGTAGGTAACATATTCCATAATTCCTAATTATGTTAAATAATTTTTTCGGTGCAGCACACTTGTCATATTGATTTTCAGTGCCCGCTCCGCCATAATATTTGTATTTAAGCCAAGAAAGCTGTCGCTTCTGTCATCGTTGCTCCGTTTAGAAAGTTGCATTGTCCTTTGTGCGTTTTCCCTGTGGAAGCAGTTGACAGGACCTTGGTCCTTTGTGCTGGCAGACATCTTAAACCCACTAACGGGCACCGATTTATATCAGCGCAGCGAACAAAGTTTGATTCCTTTTACGGCAATGAGTTTCTTGAACTTTCACAAAAGAAAAAATAACAAAAAATGCGAAAAACAACAAGAGGAAGGAAACACTTCCCCCGAGTTGCGAAAACTTCGGCAACCTTCATGCTAATGAGATTGATAATTTTATTGATTTAATAATTCCTGTTAAGTGAATCACCCCATCCCCAGCCGTGATACCGGGGTATTATTTCAATAATTATAATTACACAACATCGTAATGACTTCAATTATTTCAATTATTTACATCCACTCTGGATTGGCTTAGCCGGACAGCTGACGGAATCCCGGCTGCCTGTAATTACCAATATTTAACACTCACTCTCCCTAGGAAACCTTCTCGTATTACAAATTTACATTGGGGGGCCCAAGTGGGTGCTAAATAATGCACGCACAGTGCAAAGTGCTTCTAGTTAGGTTCCGAGTTCCGTCATCCTTATTTGCTTTTGCTCGGAGTCTCTGGCCTGACATTGAAAAATGATGTTATGCGCTAGTGTTGATAATGCTCCCTGAGGCGTAAATATGAAATTTTAGAATAACATGGAACCATCAAACTGAGTCTGACAACTTGCTCAAGTCGAGCATAAATTTGACAGTGACTCCCAGAGGGGCAACAGGATACCGCCTCCTTGTTAAATCAATGAAGTGTGTGAAAAATTACGCATACGTCATGTGCTACGGCTCAGGGCTTTGGCACAAAAGTCGCAAAATCAATTTTTCACAATTTCAGGCCATTAAACTATGCATTGATCAATTTATTATTTCCCAATCTATTTTTATTTAGCATATAAAGCTGCAAATTTATGATTCACCGATTTCTAAATCGTATTTAACCTTTCAATTTCACTTATCATCATTGGAACCGATTCAATCTGCATTTTGTGAACGAATTGCGCAAATTACGTATACGCCGTGTTGTTAATTCAAACATTTCCGGTGCTAAACCAAAGAGATTGATATAGACAGACAGAATCAAATACGCTAATTTAATTTGTGTGTTTGCCTTACACATATATACTATATTTTAAAAACATTGGTTCTTGGAAATTTCCTTACAATTACCTGTTTATTCTTTCCCTTTAAATTCGAGTCGTGTTTACAAATAAAAGTAGAACATTGGCTAATTGCTTGGCTATCAAAAAACAGAAGCCCTGGAATAACAACAAGTGAATAATGAAAGCAGTTTCCTTTTGACTCGGAGCATAAAGGAGGAAATCAAAGAACCGCTGAGTCATAGCAACTTTCGGCCTTGGTATGCATTTCCCAAACTTTGCGTTCATGAAAATTCATACATGTACATACAAGTATATATATATATATCACTATGGCACACGCGATTTGCGTGCTTATAAATTAAGGCAAAGTCTGTCTGTGTATATTTGCCGTCCTTGAGCAGTTCTATAAATAGACCGGCCTCCCCGGCAGGCACCCCCCCTGAAGACAGCGGTTCCGAGTTTCATTTACACGCCGGGGGAGACCCTCAGTCGGAGAAGCAACTGCCCCACTTTCCGCTAGCCACATCCCAAGTGCTGTCCATTTCGCTGGTATTACTGTAATTGTAAATTGCAAAGTATTAGATGGTAATTTTCCCTTCGCCAGCATGAATCCCGGATGATTTACGATGCTACGGATTTTGCAGGAGCAGTTTAGATTTGATTACCGTGGTGAAAGCTTATCGGGTTTCGTATTGGGATAAACAACCCGAATTTGCGTCATTCGACTCCTAATTAGTTTATTATACCAATCGTTCGCATTTAAATTAGCGATCCCATAAATCGGACTCAAAAAACAGAAAAACCCAGCATAAGCATAACTAATTGTACGGAATCACAAAACAAATCAAGCCAACTAAATAATTGCGCTGCAAGTGGCTAAAAGCCCATTAAAAATAATAATAGAAATTATATATTGAATAGTATAGCTTTCAAGCAAATGAATATTTATTTGGTTATGAAATATAATAATTCATCTGGTTGACAACAAGTTTTAAATGGCAAACATATGGAAAAAGGGGGAAAAAGGGGGAAAATACAATTATTCCGCTTCAATTTACTAGAAATAGGTCTACAATTAAAAAGACAATATATTCTGTTCAATATGTTCAAATCAACCTCATATCATCAATTAATTGTTTTTATTACTCCAGAAAAAGGCGTTAAGAAAGCATTCATTCATTCCCATATTCCTTGAGCCATTAAGTCAGAAATCATATTTAATGCATAAAAACCTAATTAATTTAACGTTGAACCGATAAGTGACACGCTGGAAAGGGAAGGGCTCTTATCTATAGAGAATCGCAACGCTATGTACTAAAAAAAACATGTTATTCCATATTTAGACTTCTAAATCAATTTAAATGAGACAGACAAGTGGGAACTGTCGCATGCTGTTAATAAAAGCCAATATGCCATGCAAAATAATTGCAATTGGTGCAGGTCCCTTGAATAAATCGACTGAGACGGACTCGATTGTCGGGCAAGGTCGGCGGAATACTCAGAACGCCGCATTATCTAAAGCATTAACCCACTTACAATGTGGAATGGTCTAATATCACACTTACTGCAAATATAGAGTACAAGACTAATTATAATCCTATAGGCAGACAGCTGAGAGAGTCAACAAATGAGTAAGCAGGTTCATCCGACGACGCTGCCAAGAATCGAAAGATCCCACGAAAATAAAGCATTCCTGCTTAGCGGAATCTTAATGTGAAGGTCGCCGGCAGGGATGGTAGCGTGATGCGAGTGTTTTGAGATTATATATACAAAATCTCTTTATTTAATTTATTTTAATTAATTTATATACATTTATTGAAGATTCTTTTAATTTAGTAAATAATTTTAAGAGCCTCATGATTTTACAACCTCATGATTTAAGAGTTATATTAAGGGGTTATATACAGTTGTACCGCTCAAAAAAATGCAAATTTGTCGATTTTTTTTTGACATCATAAAAAATATTTTTTAAAAATGTTTTTTCGACGTTGTTTAGTACATGTTTCTGGGTACTTTATAAAAATTTTTCATAAAAAAATATTAAATATTAAAAATGTTATGGCCGAATTCCAAGATCGTCTTTTTTTCGATGTTGACTTGCGGTGGACATCATATCCCGAGAACGGTTCATCCGAAAT